CTTTCTGGAGTTTGCTTGGACTATGCTTTGTGGCACTGAATTTCATATTCCAGCCATCAAATACGTGTGCAATTCAAATTGCACTTGAAACAATTGGGCATCGCCAAGTATTAAAGTCTGATCTCAGTGAGAGTTATTGTCAACTCGAGAACCCTTCAGAGGTTTCAACAGCCATGTCACAAAGTATATAACACGCATGTTTCCACTTTTCAAGGCATTGCTTGAAATGGTTTTGAAATGGTTTGCTTGTAGATTTTTAAAGAATCCTTTTACTCTTGCTCTTTTGTTTCAGTCTAGTAAGTACCATAAAAGCAAGTATACACATCACACTGTTGTATTAAAAAAAACTCCCCTATATTATGTATTTGGAGGCTGATTGGAAAAACACCCACATCTTGGGCAATAAATTATACCAGAGACTCACAAGGTGTAATTGAAGTATGCTGTATTAGATTTCCAATACATTTTATGTTATTGTAGCAACTGCAGATATTCTCATACAATTTTGCTCTACTATTTTTCCTTTGAAGCATTTCATTTTATTGTTCACACCATGCAATCACAGTACTAGATTATCTACATTTTTTCTAGCACTAATGTCTCTACTGAATGCAGCATTATGTAAATCAGTTGGTTTTCATTTTCTGGTTGCAAATAAAAACATTTGTGTTACAAACAATGCTATGCTAGTGTGTGTCAGCCTGGCTCAGTTGTCTAATTTCTGAGTCAGAAGATTGTGGGTTCATGCCCCTCTTCGGGACTTAAACTGACGTAGTCCAGGAAGTGGAGACTCCAATGCAGTGCTATGAGTGTGTTGCATTGTTGGAGGTCCTGCGCTTCGGATGAGACGTTAAACCCAATGGGCTCCCAATGTCCTGGCTTTTGAAACATTACGTGCATAAATTGGCTGCAGCATTCACCTATAAAATACACAGTCAATACCGTTTACAATATATCTGTGAAACACTTTGAGACATTGTATAGTGCGTGAAAGACACTGTATTAAATGTAAGGATTATTATTATATATTTCCCTGAAAGAGGCTAATATTCTAAGGCAATGTGCTAAATTATGTTGTGTGTTGCTAATGCACACATTGTGGAGTCCTGTAGCTCAGTGGTTAGAGCTCTCTGGGTTTGATTCCCAGCAGGGCGAAATGTTGGGCAACTTTCCTTACTCCACATGCCTCTGTTTACCTAGCAGTAAGTAGGAACCCAATTGTTAGTCAATTGGCGGATCACTTTTCCGGGGATAATAATCCTTTCAAAAAAAACTAATAAATCGGTCACTTCAATTCACAACTGTTTGTGGGACACTACTGTGCGCAATTGGTTGCCTGTTTTGCCCACCAAATATATCCAGTTAATTCACTTTACAGTATATTAAGCACTTTGAGATGTCTCGAAGATGTGATAAGGTGCTATATCAAATGTAAGGATTATTATTATATTAGCTCTCAGATAACAATAGGTTAGAAAGGCTTTACGCGATTGTGTGAAGACTTCTTTCTCTGGGAATATCTATTTATTAATGCTAGTCTCTGTCATCGTTATTTGCTTACGTACAGATTACTTTTTGTAATATGGCAGATTTGTTGAAGCAGAAATATAAATGATCATGAATGAATGGATTGACAATTCATTCTGACACTGTATTGTCCCCTCAGTTTGTTTTCATTTCATTTGGCTTTAGTTCTGACCAACAATTATTCCTGTATTTTGGTTACCCTTCCTACTTCCTACCAAAGACAAAGACACAATGGTTGAGGTCAAACACATGTTTTGATAGCGATTGAATTACAGTCCTTATGCCACACAGTGTTAACTGAAACACTGGCGATCAAAAACAACAATAGGAGCATTGAAATCTTCAGGCTCAACCATTGTTTGAATCTGTTAAGAAACATGAATTGTTTTACCTCAAGGGTTTTGATACTGATATCATCCCTTTCTGCAGCCTCACTAAATACATTAATGCTCCTGAGCTTACTTAAGAAAATTCACTTTGAATCTCAAGGCACAGTTGCAGTCAGATGTATTACGTATTACTGTAGCTGTGTGTGGTAAAGTCAGATCGCACATCAATAAGATTTTTTTAAATTGAAGGTCATTTTCATTCTCAATGTAAGTCTGAGCTCACTGCTGGGCTCTGAGACAGAGGAGGAACCATTAACTGTGGCCAGTGTTTGCTTAACAAACCTTCAGCAGGAAGCTCGACTTCGTTCTGGAGGTGGGAACCATGGCCTTCTGATGTAAAGCTTGCTGTGAGCCAGTGCAAGATCAGAGAACTTCCCTTGCCACTTACGTCACAGTTCATAGCTTTTAACAATGTTTTTTTTGGTTACATGTTGCAGCCCACCATTTGGGAATCTCACTTCAAACTTGCCTCCATATTGATAAAAGTATCCTGACTCCCTTACATTCTTTCCTCAAGGTTTCATTAACCTTAAGTTGCTAAAAACTGATTTTTTAAGTTTTTTATTGGTTAAACAAACCTCTTGTAGCTGAGCAGATCCTCTCCCGCTTTGGTAAATAGGATCAGTCTTGTTTTTTTGTTAGTTTGATCTGTTGGGATGCGAATGATTCCATTCAGATAATACTCTGACCTCCTCTGAAACCAATAAATTTGGTCACTCAATCCACGACTGTTTGTGGGACACTGGCTGCCTTGTTTCGCCCACAAAATATACAGTCAATTCTGTGAAGCGCTTTGAGACGTGAAGACGTGATAAGGCGCAAATGCAAGGATTATTATTATTATTATTTTTAAAGATGCATTGTGAGGGCCTCGTTATAGGGAGAATGGAATCCATGATCAGCAGGGCAATTTTCTTTATATTTCAGGATAATTTCAATGATCCAAACAGCGATGTCTTCTGTGAAGATCATGTAATATGTTGAAAAGATTGTGGTACACTCTTGGTCAGCTACCATTTTGGAACAGAGTTAAATAATAGTAATCCTTGCATTTGATATAGCACCTTTCATGTTGAGAGAACGTCACCAAAGTGCTTCACAAGATTTACTGGGAAGTGGAGTGACTGTTTATTTGCAGTGAATGCGGAAGCCAATTTGCACATAGCAATGTCCCATGAAGTGAGCAGCCAATTTTATTTGGTCACCGGGAAGAACACCCTTCTCTTTTCGAGCAGTGCGTTGAGATCTTTAACATCCACCTGAACAGGCAGACAGACCCTCGGTTTAACCTCTCATCTGAAGGGTGGCACCTCTGATGATGGCACACACTCCCAACGTTGCATTGGAGTCTCAGCTTCAATCGACAATGTGAGTTCAAACTACAACAAGATTACATTTGTATAGCGCCTTTCACGTCGGGAGGACGTCCCAAGGGTCTCAACATGGGGCTTGAACCCACAACCTTCTGACTCAGAGGTGAAAGCATTACTAACTGAGCCAGGCTAACACACAAGGCTGACAGATATTCATCCATTTGGTTGAATTAAGTTTTCACTTCTTCCCCTCTCGTTTTCATTCAATTTGTATAATCAAATACTTTCCTTGTCTAGAATCCTGTGAAGGTATCATAAACATTGCATCCCAGAAATAGGTAATTCCCCTATCAAGTCTGTACTGGAGATTTTTATTTCTTCCCAAGCCACCGAATCCCCACTCTGCTTCACTCCCCATAACTTTAATATACCTATTTGTCAAGCATCTATCTAATTCCCTTTTAATAGAATTTATGGACTTTTTGTGGCAACAACTGGTGGTAGAGAATTCCAGATTCCAACCAAATATCTGTGTAAAAGATTATTTCAACTTCCCCTTTAATTACTTTTATGAATATCTTAAATGTATGCCCTCTCATTTGTGATTCACCAGGAGAAATAATCTATTATTATGTATCCTATTAGAAACCTATGCAAACATAAAGGCCCTCATCAGGTCATCCCTTAAACTTCTCACCTCTTTCTCCCCAGAAGTGCTGATCAGCATCCGTCTTTCTCCAGACTAGACGACAGGCTGTCTGGGTTCAAAACAATGAAAGGAATCAGAGTCACTTCATCATAATGGGATAGCAGAGCTATATTAGGTTTACAATTTGCCCTAAATTAAACTCAGCATTGCCTGAATCTGATTCCAATCAAGCAACTGGAGACTTAAGTTAATTTATTCGTGATTTTAAGAAGAATATGGGAAACTAATGGTTAAGTGCATTTCATGCAACGAGCTTACACTGAATATTGAACTCTATTGTATTTCTAGAATGTATCCTGTTTCAGACTTTTGAAATTTCCACACATTTGCACTGTTATGCTTGCCACAAAAACATAAGGAAAATGTCCAGATGTTTAGACCATTAATGTGCAGTAAGCATTGATTATGACTGTAAACCATTTCATTAAGATGTTTTAAAAGGAATCTGGGTTGAAGTACACCAAATAGACAATGATCTGCTGCATTAGGATAATTTATCAGTCCTAATGAAAGGGAGAAATCGAGGTGGTTACCAGCATAATCTCCCCAAAGGCAATGACAAGGTAATTGATCTTCAGCTGGCAGCTGCTCGCAGACTTGGACAGAACAGCAGTTTGTGAATGGAAGTGTGCTGAGAGGAAGTATCATGACATACTAACTGCTAAGAATGAGCCAAAGATCTTGCATGACCCTGAACAGATGTTCCTGTTGGTGAAGTGTTTTAGCAAAAAGGACTACTTTGCATTCTTCTGATTGATCACCTTTTTACCGTCTTCCATCAGACAGAGATTGCATAGATATTCCACTTCTGATAACTGGTGTGGTAAAGGAGAAAGATCTTGTCTGATCTTTCATATTTAACTTTTTAATTACTTCATTGATCAGTCTGTACAATATTAGTGGAGAGGCTTGTTGAAGTATAAAGGTTCTTTTGCTATTCCTAAATCCTTCTTAATTTCTTACATCATCACTGGCAGAGCACAGCAGGCAATGTTGTTACTGGCAATTTTCATTGAAAATTCCAAAATGATGTACAGTGACACTGGTTAATTTTAATTACAGGGTGGAGAGCACTGTTATTATCATGGTATAATCCGAGGAAATGCAGAATCCTCTGTGGCCCTTTCAACCTGCCATGGACTACAGTAAGTTGCTAATCTTTTGAATGTATGTTCATATTTACAGTATTTAGCAGTTCTTATTTAGCATTGTTTTTTTTCTGCAAAACAGCCTAATAATGTTTATTGAATAACTCATTTTAGTTTCCAGTTCTGTGATTTTTCTAGCACACATCTGAGTATCAGCAAGAAGGAAACTATATTAGACCTTAGCTCTATCTGGTAACCTACTTCAAGGTGATCTCCAAATTGCCAATTTTAAAATGTTTAGGATGACATTGGGATATAACTGTATGGCAAATTCTTACTTCTTCCTAGTCGACTCAGTTCTGAACTCAACCTGCCATTGTTTATGCTGATATTGGCATGTGGTGGGATCTCCCTCACTTTCTGCTACTCTCTCATTTCCCCAATGAGGAGAGGAGGGTTCACCAGCACTTGCTATGTCTTCCATGAATACCAAAACTTGAATCAAAATGGAATTCTATTATCAGGTCTGAGGCTCAGCCTCAAACCTAATCTAATTGCTTAAGTGCAGTGCAGTTTTGAATTTCATTGATTTCAAAAATGAGTTTGGGGTGAGAATTTAAGGGCAGCTTTCAGGAGATTAAAATAAAGAAAAAGACTAATGCTTCGCTGACATATTCCATAGGGAATAGAGTGGTATTATCCAGTCATGTTGTATCTCTTGAATGGGAAGACATGTCATGTGCATGTCAATAAGTAAAGGAGATCATTTACAAATCTCTGTTTCACTGTGACCTGCAGTCTGCTTATCAGTCCTAAAGCAGCACAGTATTTAGTCTCTAAAGCTCTTTAAGACAGCAGGATTTCCCTCCATGGACACATGTAACTTTGTTTTAGCTGGGGAGGCCCTGTTAATGTTATAGTAATAATAATAATAATCATATGTTTAGAATGTTGGAGAACCGATCTCCCATTTACAATGGGAAAACAACTTCTTTCCAACAATGTCTTTTCAGGATATTGAGGTATAATGGATCCCCTTCTTGTTTGCTTAATGCATGGTGCACCTTATTTTCCTCAAAATACTGTAATTATACATGGTGGATTTTTAAAAATCCCATTTTTCACATACTTGCTTCCAACAAGAATGTCAAAATCAGGAATAATAGCATTCGACAGTTTTTACACTCCCCTGTCTAGAACCACTGAGACCTGCTGTAATGTGCCATTGTAAACCTAACATCACTCTCTGGGTGCCATCCCAACTAACAAAAATTATAGTTTCGTTCTCAGCATTACTGAGAACACAACTAGAGGAAGAGAAATGATTTCTTCCAGTTCATAGCAATCATGGCATAATTACACCAAAGATACGGATGAAAAAGGTCCTTCGCACCATTTCATTTCATCCTTCCAGAATATCTATCCTACCCATCTCCTGTGACAGCATTAAGCTGTTGCTTAACAAGAAATGTAAAGATACTGAGGGGAGGAAACAGTTAGACTGCTGTACCGTGCTGAAGATTTAATAATTTATTTTTAGCTAACACTCTCCAATAGGCATATTTTGAATTTGTTTTTTTGGAGAAAGAAGAAGAATACTAATAATGGATTTTGTTTAGGAAAACAAAGACAGTGTTGTTCTTGAAATTCATTACAAAAGTGTTCATTGTAAAGTCATGGGGCTTTAAAAAAAACTACTGCACATGTTAGATAGATACCAATCTGTTATGAAACAAATGTGTAGTCATGTGTTTGATGTCACTTGATTCTCTTTCTTTCTGCTGAGGTACAATTACAAGGCAATCTCCACACTTTGTCCGAGTGCCCATTATGCATATATGAGGCCAAACTTTGTAGTCGGAGATAGTTGACGCATCACTTGCAATTTTTTAGTTGCAATTATTCCCCCCCTTTGTTTTGCAGCGTTAACACCTCTTTAACCCATCATCCCCTGTCCTCTACCCCATTTTCTCCTTTGTCTTCCTTGCCTTGCCCCTCGCTTTCTGTTTAACCCTTAAAAGCCTCTCTCTCCCAACATGCCCCAGTTCTGACGAAGGATCGTGGACCTGAAACATTGACTGACTTTCTTTTCTCCATAGATGCTGCCTGACTTGCTGAGTGTTCCCAGCGACTTCTGTTTTTGTTTCAGATTTCCAACATCTGCAGTATTTTGCATTTCGTTTTCCTTCTTCATATTAACATGTCTTGTGATCTTGTGTTGATAGGCTATTAAACCGCGGGAATAATTACAGTCAACGTGTCCTTGACCACATCCACACATCAGGTGTCAGCCTGGCTCAGTTGGTAGCACTCTGGCCTCTGAGTCAGAAGGTTGTGGGTTCATGCCACATGTTGGGATTTAGTACCCATATAGTCTATGCTGACATTCCAGTGCAGTGCTGGGGGTGAGCATTATCAGAGGTGCCGTACTTTAGATGAGACATTAAACTGAGGTCCCACCTGCCTGTCCAGATGGGCACTGAAGATCCCATGACCCTATTCGAAAAGAGAAGGGAGTTTCTCCCAGTGTCCCGGCCAACAATCTTCCAAATAAAATTGGTCACTCACTCCATGGCTGTTTGTAGGATATTGCTGTGTGCAAAATAGTTGTCACATTCACCCAAAAAAGACACAGTCACACCACTTCCCAGTGTATTCTGTAAAGCACTTTGAGATGTCTTGACAATGTGATAAGGCATTATATCTAATGCAAGGATTATTATAAGAACATAAGAATTGCTAGACGAAAGAAAACCAAGGTCCATCCAGCTTGCCTTCCACCAACCTGGCAGTTACATGCACATATCATGACCCAAAGTATATACTGTATCCCAAGTCATTATTTCCTAAAATACATTTATCTACTTTGCTTTTGAAAGAATCAACACGGTCTGCTTCCACTGTCTCCCTAGACAGTCTGTTCCATACGTTTACTACTCGCTCTGAAATAGATTTGTTTTGAATTTTTATTAGTATCCAATTTTGTGTGCTCACTCCTGTCTGACTTGCCCCTCCCTAACCAGTGACTAGTGCTACACCAGGCACTGCCTTTACCCAATAGGTCATCAATGGAACACATCTGCTTGGTTCAGTAGGAACAATTCTTTTTCCTACCCTATGTTGTTTATTTATCTCTAGGAATAACTAGTGTTCATCAGTAATACATTTGGTAAAAGTTCAAGCTACACAGAAGATAGATATTAAAATGAAAGTTAAAAGATTTCATAATTAATTATAACAATTTCAACTCTTTGCATTAAATAGGTTTGAATATTTTGATTTAACCATGGCATCACTGATGAACTGGCTGGAAATGTTACTGAGCGTAACTATGTGAGAGAACAGAATAGACCTCTGTTATTAACCAAGAGTACTTCACACAGCTTGGCACTTGAACCACATATGTTTATTCAGCTCCTTCACACAATGGCACAGTCAATCTTTTAAGGCAGTTCCATCAATGATGTCATTAGCAGTCTAAAATAAAATAAATGGAAGTACTGCATTGAAAGTACATTTTGTGCACAAAAATACAGTCAATTCACTTTACAGTACATTCCTTTGAAGCGCTTTGAGACATCTCGAAGATGTGATAAGGTGCTACATCAAATACAAGGATTATTATTATTTTTAAAAAACTAGAACTGTTATATATCTATATGATTTAGCAGACATAAGAGTGTAAGAAAGAGCTCACTTGACATGTCTACTTAAAGAAGCTTTTGGCATTGTCATTCATATTAACATAATATCACCTGCCATATACTTTCACTGTTGCTTTTAACAATGGTCATTAATGATTCTATAAGCGATGAAGCTTTTAAACTGGTTTCATTTAAGAAAGACATTGAATTTTTTTTATAGTACCGTATCTCGTCAATAACTCTTTTCTGTGAAGTGCAGTTGCTGTTTTTGTAGGCAAATGCAGTAGCCATGTTGCGCACAGCAAGGTTGCAGATCAATCATTAGGTGAACGACCAATTTATAGAGAGAATTGTTGACCAGAACACTGAGAAACTCTCTTCACTTTTCAAATACGGTCATGGGAGCTTTCAGATCCACATGAAGAACAGAAGATGAGACATCAGTTTAACATGTCACTTGAAAGATGGATGAGGAAAGCTTTATTTCAAATGAAATTCTGCTTTCAGTAATCAGTGAAGGAATGAATAAATCAAGGCATTTATTCACTGGCAGAATGCTGTGTCAGATTTCAGTGCTGATATTTAGATTTTCTTTTCCATGCTGGAATAAATAGAATGAATACTGGATTTGGATTACAGTTCATAGCTAAGTGCTTTTACATTAATCTGTTAAAATTAATTTACAAATTTCCCAGTTGCCTATCATTGGCATGCAGTGTACTCTCTTATAGCTTGTAAATATTACGTGGGTTAGTATCACCTCCAGTTCACATACAGTACAACTGCTAAGCCTGCAAAGATATTCTAGTGTTTTAAGGTAGTTGCCAGATATTTCCTATACTCTCTTGCCTTTCCCGCTGTTCAGTCTCTTCTTCTCATATACCCAGTAATGGTTACCTTTCTTCTTTCCTCCATAATTTCACTGTTCCTCACAATTCATTCAGCTTTCTACTCTTTGCATTTTACTTTTACCCAGTTCTCTTTTATATAATAATAATCCTTGCATCTTCCAGACGTGTCAAAGCACTTCACTACTGTAAAGTGAATTGACTGGATGTTTTGTGGGGGTGAAACGCGGCAGCCAATTACACTCAGCAATTTCAGAAATTGGTTTAGTTGGGTGTAACAAACTAGTAATTTGTGTTATCACTGATGTTGTAGAGTTGGGAGTTCTTGACATTGACACTGAGTGTAAAAAATCCCAAATGTTTAATCTATGAACATAGATATTCCTTGTCACAACAACAACGCCAAAATTGTACGACCCACAATTTTTAATTAAGAAATAAAATCCAGCAAAATGCCCTGACGATATTGAGTCACAAGGACATTTTATTTTGGTCAGCCGGGTGTCTGACACATGCAGAAACCCATCACCGTGCTTTAGAGTATCCAAACCAAACTGAGAATTTTATACAACCCTCCTCCACATGGAAATTCCATAGATAGATTGTTGGAATGGAAGCGCACTCTCTCCCCGGAGGGACGCTTCCTACTTACCTAATTCCAGAGATATTAAGTCTTGGTGACCCCATAGTGAGCGTTGGAGCACTGCTGGAGTCTAATCTAATTACTAGACTAGTCTAATTATTATTATTATTATTATTAATCAGCTTAAACTGAATTGCTTGCCGTTGATATAGCTGTCTGGCAAGCTTTGCTCACTGGTTCTCCAGTTGGGACCACCTTACCTGTTAGGGCTTTGGTTTGCACGGTTAACAGGAGCTGAGTGGGAGCCATAGCTGATAATAGTATTAATAATAATAATCCTTGCGTGTGTTGTAGTAGTTTTCACAATGGGAGGTGTCTCAATACACTTCACCGGATTTACTAAGGACCAGCTGGCTCAGGAACCAGACTACCGAGACAACCACGAAAGACTTGCTCGATCTTATCTGGTCATTCTCCGTAACTCATCCTTGTAACACAAGGGATCAGCCTTGTTGCTAACCTTTGCTTTGCCTCTAGGGCATGAGTTAATCTTGTCCATCCTAACCAGATCAGCTTGAGCATGACTTCTGAACACAACTGATTTGATACTATAACCCAGCATCCTGTTTGTCTTGTTCAATTTGCCTCACACTGGTTAGTAATGGTGAGTGAAAAGGCAATTGACACCCTTAGGTGTTTTTCAGGTTTCCCCCTTGTAAAGTACTGTACAATACATGCAGCATAAGTACCTTCTACTTTCTATATGCAATGCTTTGCATCTATGTGAATTGAGCTGTATTTGTATTAGAATCAAAGAAATTTACAACATAGAAGAAGATCTGGGCTGGCTCTTTTAGAGAACAGTCCTTTCAATCCCATTTACCTGCTCTTGGCCCATCCCTTACTCCTTTTTAGATACATACCCTGTTGAGCTCTCTTTTAAGACCTTGGCTCATTCTGCAAAGTGCTTCAAGGCATTTCAGTTCTGTGAAAGGCACTATAGAAATCTAACTTAATGTTGTTGTTTTGGGCTATCTGGTCTGATTCCTCTGTTCCCCAGAGCTTAGTATCATCTGGGAAACCAGGTCATTTATGAGTACGAGGAACAGGAAGAGTCTCAACACAGTAGTTCCTCGGATAAAAAAATAATGTGTTCTATATATGCCAAGATAAAAGATAAATATCTTAACTTATGACACTGTCTAGAACACACTTGCGACTGGTTACTTGTGATCTACATGTTTGCCCTGAATTGTGGAGCTGTTTATCATTTTTTATTGGTCAGCCAGGTGTCTGACACATGTAACACCCATCACTATGCTTAAAAGTATCCAAACCAAGCTGAGATTTCCGTGCTTCCCACCTACACATGGAAATCCCAGAGATAGATTGTTGGAATGGAGTGCGCACTCTCTTTGTGGAGTGATGTATCCTGCTACTTAATTCTGGAGAGTTTTAGCCACAGGTTGGCAAGAGCCAAGAGTTGGAGACCCAGAGTGTGCGTGGGGTTTTGCTGGAGTCTAACCAGCTAAAACCGCATAGCTTGCCATTGATATTACTCTCTGGCAAGTTTCCCACTGCCAGTCCAGCTAGGAACCCCAGAAGGTTAGGGCTTTGGGAAGGGTTAACAGGAGCTGAATGGGAGGATTCCCTGCCCCCAGTGACTGGTCTGCCGTTCCAGATCCTGTAAATGAGCCAGTGTGCTGTCATCAGCAGTGCTCTGGAATACTGCGAACCCGCCTGGCTCAGTAACCGGATTACTGAGACCGTTACAGAGGGCTGGCTTGATTCTGACATTGCATTACCAGACATGTCACCTTGGAGCCATTTCAGCTCCATACCCCAAGGAGGATAGTTCTAGAAGTCCCTTCGGGCTTTTCGCAATTTATATTTTATGGTTCTTACATGTTTCAGATGCCGTCTCTGAACTCCGTTCAGCGGGCTCCGGCCTGCTCCACATCTCCCTCCCGACCTGCCCTACCATCGGTGGCTGGGCTTTCAGCCTCTCTGTCCCCACAATCTGGGACTCCATCCCACAGTCTCTTCGCCTCGTTTCCTCCCTTGCCTCCTTCAAGGCCGGTCTCAAGACCCTTTCTCTTCGACCGTGCCTTTGGTCACCCTCCCAACTCTCTGCCTTCCCTCATCCCCACACCACCCCTCCTCCATGCTCGGGTCCTGATCCCTGACTGTCCGGCGCCTTGGGATGCCCTCCTGACGTGAAAGGTGTTCTATAAATGTAATTTTGTTGTTGTTGTGGTTTTATTTATAATGGATACTTCAGTTATTGAGACAAATTAACAGACCCTTTCCAACTTAATCTGCATTTCTTCTGACTGGGCCAACCTTCTAATACCGCAAATATGAGCTCCCTGGCATTGCTTTTACTGAGGATACAATCACACGTTACACTAGCACAAACATAATTCATTCCTCCGCCATTAGCTCCATTGGTCAACCCGCAAAATATGTTAAAATTAATACATTCAGTGTTGCAAGCATTGTCCTTTCTGCTGTGCTGTAAATTTCTGTGCTGTTGCGGTTAACAAACTACATAGAATTACATTGAATGATATGGCATGGAAACAGGCCATTTGGACCATGTCGGTGTTTACACTCCACAAAAGCCTCCATCTCTCATATTCCCCTCTATTCCTTTCTCCCTCCTATGTATGCATCAAGTAACCTCTTAAATGCATTGATGCTTTTTGTTTCAATCGGTAGTTAGTTGCACAATCTCGCCACCCTCTGTGTGAAGAAGTTCCTCCTGAACACTCTGTTAGATCTATTACTAGCTATCTTATAATTATACGTTGTGTAAAAATGTTAGGAATTTTTTAGTTCTGTTTTTATTATTCATCGTTTAAACACATATGTTATCATAACCACCATTGCACACTAATCTCTACACTTTACTCAGCTTGTCTGTGTATTATATTTTTTAGTGGAATGTTTCATGATGGCAATCACACGTACATAATCGAACCACTACTGAGGAACGATGAAAACATATTGGTAAGTCTTGTTTTACAAATGTTATATGTTGTAAAGTGAAGTTAACAATGTAATGATGGTTTAAAGCTGTAATGTAATGATACTAATAGGGTTTCAAGACTTTTTTCATATTTTATATCTTAGTCTAAATTTTGAATTAAAATAATAATCAGAACTTCAAGCTTCTTCTTGCAACATTGATGCAAGCGAGAGGACTTGAGTTTGATTCCCGGGCAGGCCGAAACGTTGGACAAGCTTCCTTCCTCCACACGCCTTTTTTACCTTGTAGTAAGGAGGAACCTGGTTGTCAGTCGATTGGCAGATCGCTTTTCCGGGGAGTAATAATTCCTTCAAAATAAATAAAATTATTTGGTCACTCATCTATGACTGCTTGTGGGACACTGCTGTGCGCAATTGGCTGCTGCGCTTCACAAAATATAAAGTCAATTCACTTTACAGTATATTCTGTGAAGCGCTTTGAGACGTCACAAAGACATGATAAGGCGCTATATCAAAAATCCAAGGATTATTATTATTACATCTCTGCGCCTCTCCAACCTGCTCACACCTCACTGGCAACGTTCAGCATTCTGAGACCTGCGTGAAGGGCACTATGTAAATACAAGTTGTTTAAAATCCTCAAATTATATCTATTTGTAGACATCACCTGCTAATTTAATGAGTTTATCAATGGAATCCAGTATTAGGCACAACCTATTGCCATATATGCTAACTGCTTTCTACGACCTCTATGTCCCTTAGATGAATATTTGCAATATCCTGTAAATTGCTCTCCTGTAGAATCCTATGATCACTGAAGTACCTAAGTTACTAAGGGCACTCTAATTTGGTGTTATTATGTACTCTCAATAAGGAACAATATTTCCTATTATAACATGATAACAATTAGCCTCATTCATTATTCTTATCAAATTTCACCAGCTCTAAATTTATACATCCTTATAACCTTAGCAGTTTTGCCTGGCTTCTGAATTAAAATTCAATTTGAGACTTCTCAAAAATTCTACACGACCGTAAAGCTTAAGATGATGCTCTTAAGGCTAAGGCGATGAAAGCCTCACAACTTCGTATAGAGACCCAAGAAAGCTGAGGCCAATAAATGTAGGGATAGACAAGTGGGAGGATTTCTGCTCTGGTAATCTAACAATGCCAGAATGGTTCAATTCATGCTTACATGAATATGTGAAGAACATTCCTTGTGTGGGCTATTCACAGATTACGTAAGAAGTCAAACGTTTCAAGTGTTTGAAGAAAGGCAAAAAGCCAGCAGAATTGCGTGCCATTTTTGTTATTGTGGTGTTGCAATGGCATTTGTACCATTCCTTTGTATGTTTGTAAAGAAATAAAGAAGCACTTTTGTGAAGATGATAACCTTTAAAATGTAAGGACAATTTTAGTTCCTATAATGTCGGCAGATCAACGTATGAGACCAGTGACTTTTATCCCACTGGGTGTGTAATGTGCATATTTAGCACTAAAATCTCTTAAAGCAAGTACATTACAAACAGACCTTCAAGTGATGGCCGACATTAAACAGCTGAATAAACGAAAGAGCAAAACCGCACAATTAAGCTGTTCTGTTCTGCTATTAGGCAGCAGTCAGCAGCCCCTCACAGATCTTTTCAACACTTCAGCAGATAGAAAGGCACATCACTCCATTCTTCATGACTGCAGAATTCCGAAGGTGCACATATATAACCTTTAAGGATTTGACTGGTTGCCAAGTAATATCTCTGAGGTAAACAATCACTTGTGAAACTGATTATATTGTCAGAGAGAAAGAGGATGGCTTGGCAGCTAATGTTTTCAATTGATGATTGATTTAAAGATCAATATTGATAGGTGACAGAGAAGATCTTTTGTTTTTCTGCACCATCACCATTTGAACACTATAAATAATCAGAGGCTACTGTACCAAATTTCAATAATAATAATAATAATCCTTGCATTTGCTTATCCCTCGTCAAGATGCTTCAAAGTGCTTCACAGAATATACCGTAAAGTGATTTTCCCAAAATAATAAACTTTAACCTGTAGGTGTCAGCATTTGGAATATACTGTGGATAGTGAGTTACAAGGGATTACAAGCAGATTTCAATACATTAAACCCATGGCTTACTGGACTCCAGAATTCAGACCCAGTCAGACCAGGGCTGAACCCCCAAAACATTTGGTAAAAATCTTTGCGAGGCCACGAGCAAGTAAACTTCCACCATCCTACTCTCCTAGCACACGTCAATACCGTGCTGAGCAATATAATAATAATAATAATCCACCTCACAGACTCCACCTTGCTAACCCTACCAGTGACCAGGGATATCAACTTACACTCCTATTATAATAATAATCCTTGCATTAGATACAACGCTTTATTGCATCTTTGAGACGTCTCAAAGCGCGTCACCGAATATACTGTAAAGTGAATTGACTGTATATTTTGTAAGCGGAATTTTTGAATCCCACAAGCGGAAGACAGCTTATCTATCATCTTCTGCTTGCGGAAGACATTAACTTATTTGCTATCTTCTGCTTGCGGGATTCAAACAATTTTAATGCCAGTTCAATTCTAATTATACTTAGCCATAAGGTCTGTCTCACCAGACAGGATCTCCCCCCAATTACTCCGGCTAGCCAAGGTTTAAGTGTACTTTACAAATAATATTTGTATTTGATGCAGCATGCTTCACATTGGTAGGTCATCTCTAAAGTGTTTCACACGATTTACTGTAAACTCTAGCGACTTTGCATTTTATAAGTGAATACGGCAGCCAATAGCATACATTAATGTCCCATAGAGTACTCGCCTCACAAGTGAGAGGACCCTGGTTCGATTCCCAGGTAGGGTGAAATGTTGGGAAAGTTTCCTTACTCCACACGCCTCTGTTTACCTAGCAGTAAGTAGGAACCCGGTTGTTAGTAAATTGGTGGATCGCCATAATAATTCCTTCCTCCAAACAATATTAAGAATTTGGTCACTCAGTCCACGACTGTTGTGGGACACTGCTGTATGAGCAATTGGCTGCTGCATTTCACAGACAAAAATATACAGACAATTCACTTTACAGTGTATTCTGTGAAGCGCTTCGAGACGTCTCGAAGACATGATAAGGCGCTATATCAAATGCAAGAATTGTTATTATTATTATTAGAAGCAGTCAGTCTCCCTTTGTAAGACCTTTGTTGTGTCCTCTGATTCCACAGTTCACCCCCAACTTGGTATCACCTGCAAATTTAACTACCTAATGTAGGTCTGGGAATCCAGGGTTCCTAGTACAGACCCCTAGACACCCCCTTAATACCTGCTCCCATTTTGCCCAAGCTTCCTTTCCTAATTCACTTTGTGTCACATGCATGATTGAGTGGGTTACAAGTTAATGATCATATAGTTTGCTGAACACAAATATAGCATCATATTTTTTACTATAAGCCTTTATATTAGAAATAATTTTTGAAACCAATTTAAAGACGTTTATGACGGTTGTGCTCTCTAGCGGTTCTGCAACCTTGCTTCTGAGCCCTGAAGCTATCACTGAACAGATGTTGGACCTAAAACAGCTGGATTATGAGATAGCTTTCTCTTTCCCTTCCTGGAGAGTAAGATGTTTGATGTGGGTATCACTGACAAAGTGACAGCTTTGACATATTGGCTAATGGAGTGAGCTGAAGGCAGGTGGCTTGACGCATTAGGCTAGCAATCTCCACAAGATCTCAGCATGCTCAATAAGTAGAAACATTTGTGACTGACATTATCAGTGATGTCTCAGACAGGAATAAAACGTACTACGTGTCTTTTAAGGGCTGACCTTTCCAATTTCAAATAAATAATTGATTTGTTTCAGCTTCACTGAAAATTGGCATAACAGTGTGTTTCCACCTTTGAAGTCCAGCTATTTTTAATCTTAAAATAAAATGAAGTCACCACTAATCCTTGTTAGTGGCGGTGTCAGAATGAATACTCACCAGTGCATGGTACGCAGATTTCAGTCGGTGGGGACTACACCAATGGTTGTCAGTGAGTGTGTACTAATTTCTTTTGGTCGGCCGAGTGACTGACTCACACAAAACCCATCAGAAGTCTTAAGAATGTCGAAAGCAACTAAACTGTGGAGTTACTATGCCTATGTGGCATATGCTCTATGTCTCTCTCCAGTTTTGTTTTCCAATTATAGCTTGATAAATGATCTACAAAGAAGAAGGTGATATACGACAGAGAATATAAAGGGTTGAGTAAAAGAAAAAAAAACTAAATATATAAGTTCCCAGTCTTAACGGCAAATTCTACTTGCATCAAGTAGTTTTCGATGTTTCTCTTTGTTTCTGTCGACAGACCTGCTGACAGTCTATATTTGTTATTTGGACTGTTGTTTCTCAGATTTTTATATATGAATACCAGTAGGTTATAATAATAAATATTAATAATCCTTGCATTTGATATGATGCCTTAATATATCATCAAGGCGTCTCAAAGCGCTTCGCTGGATTCATTGCAAAATGTAGTAACTGTGTGCTTTGAAGGCAAATGTGGCAGCTAAACTGTGCACAGCAATGTCCCGCAAATAACCATGAAGTGAATGACAATTTTATCATTTTTAATTTGGGAGATTGCTGGCCAGGAAAGGCAATTTTTAAAAAAAAATTGTTACGGACTCCATTATGTAAATTAGTAAATTAAAACACTGGTCACTCAGCACCTGGAAGAGAAAAATAGGTTTAGTGCTTTGAGCTGCTATCTTGCTTGAAGGGTTTCAAATAAATGCATGTTATTGTATGGAACGTTGGTGTCTTATTCAGCCCTCAACTGACTTTTAAACCTCACATATGTGCCATGATCGGTTCTGCCTTCTCCCACTTCCGCAACATTGTTTGCCTTTGCCACTAACTTTCCCCTCAGGCCACCGAGCCCTCGTCTATGCTTCCATCACATCCAGGCTATGCTAACTCCCTGCTTGTTCGGATTATGCTAAATCGCTGCTTGACACACTTCCCAACTCTTCCCTCCACAGGCTGCAGATTATTCAGAACTCTGCAGCTCGTGTCCCCTCCTGCACCAAACTCCGTGACGCTATTATCCCCATCCTCGCCCGGCTCCACTGGTTCCCCCAGGGGATCGAATTTGAGTAGAAAGTGATCCTTATCATCACATTGCTTGTTGCTCCTTCCTACCTCTGCGACCTACTAATACTAACACCTTACCAACCTTCCCACTCCCTCTGCTCGGTGGGCACTGGCCTGTTCCATGTCCCCCTCCCTGTTTGCCCCACCAGTGGTCCACCATCAGTGGTCAGGTTTTCAGCCTTCTTGTCCCCACCCTCCTTCCTTTGGAGATTCTACCTCCTGGTAAGATTGCGCTGATACATCCAGAATCCTTTCATCTCGCCCCCTCCCTTGCCTCCTTCAAAGCCCGTCTCAAGACCTTCCTCTTTGACCATGCCGTTAAACATCCTCCCACCCCCATTCCCCTTGTCCTCCACCCCTGTTGATTCCAAGGGTGCAAAGTCTTCACTGCCCAGCATCTTGGGATGTCCTACCGATATGAAAGGTGCTATACAGATGCATATAGTTTGTTGTTGTTGTTGTTTAGGTTTCTGGGCACTGAGTACCTTGTTCAAAAATGCTATCTTTTTCTCTTTCTGATTCTGATCAACCCTCTGTGGATTTACCTCAATTCTGCTTTCATGTCAGATTTCTGCCATTTTTACCATTTATAAAAATCACATGTTTTACTCTGCTATGAATGAATACAGAGGTGGGTTACTTTGTAAATTAAAAGTCAAGCATGAAAATCTTTTTGTAAATGCAGGTTTCAATTGAACTATGGAACAAATCAAATGATACTTAGCACGTTGCTGAAAATAGTGGGTTCCAAATGAGACATTGTTATGTGGAAGACGCCATAAAACCAGATATTTGTGGAGTCCTGTAGCATATTGGTTAGAGCATTTGCCTCACAAGCAAGAGGACATGGATTTGATTCCTGAGCAGAATGAAAAGTTAGGCAAGTTTTCGTACTCCACACGCCTCGGTTTACCTAGCAGTAAGTAGGAACCCGGCTATTAGTCGATTAGCGGATCGCTTTCCGGGGGTAATAATCCCTTCAGAAAAAAATAGAATAATTTGGTCACTCAATCCACAACTGTTTATAGAACACTGCTGTGCACAATTGGCTGCTGCGTTTCCCGCACAAAATATGCAGTCAATTCACTTTACAGTATATTATGCAAAGCTCTTTGTGACGTCTCGAAGATGTGATAAGGCGCTATATCAAATGCAAGGATTTTTATTACTAAGTTAAACAGCCCAGAAGAAGACTAAATTCAAGTTTTTTTCTGAGAATATTCTGAGGTTTAGAACACAGATAATTATTATGGCAACCAGAGGCTATGCACCGGAAAGGCAATGTTAGGGTGGTTTGTGATGAAATTACAAGACTGCAATGTGATGAACAAAGATTCAACAAAAAAAAAGTAGATGGTCAGGAAAATTCAGATTTCCAAAGCAATGGATCACTTCTAAAACATCCATAGTTAAAATGCTTTATTCGAGTCACTTTCTCTGTTTTCCTTTGACCTCACAGAACGAGTCTCATTTGGTTTACCAAGCTGCAAGACGTCACCTTCCTTTGGAGATTCTACCTTCTGGTAAGATTGTGCTGAAACACGGTATACATGAGAGTATGTGCTCAATCTCAATTCAACATCAAATACGTTATAAAATAAACCATTTGATTTGCTTTATACATTAAGATATGTGTGAACTCACACAGATGAAAGATATTTGCTTGATTTCCTGTGGGTTTCAAGGAGACTGTATTTCACAGAGAAGATAGAATGGGTGTGTAATCCATGACAGGGTTTTGTGTGAACCTTGGAGAAAGTGGGCTTGATAGGCAAATGGCCTTTTCTCCTTCAATATCTTTCTTAAGCAACGAAAGCTATCAAATATTTCAAGTGGTCTAGAGTGTGTAATGTTGTGTTTGTTGCAAAGTTGATTCTGAAAAGCTAGAACTAAAATTCTTCATATGAATATCAAACAATATCTAGTGAGTTATTTTTTATAAAATCAGGTAGTAGCATTGTGGCTCAACAATTAGGTGATGATGATGTGTTGTGGAAATATATGCATGAACTTTTTTTCACCCACTCAGTAGCGAGTTAACATAAGTTAATGAGTTGCTGTGGAGAGGTGACATAATAATAATAATAATAATAATCCTTGCATTTGATATAGCGCTTTCCACGTCGGGAGGACGTCCCAAAGCGCTTCACAGAACACACTGTAAAGTGAATTGACTGTATATTTGTGGGCGAACGCGGCAGCCAATTGCGCACAGCAATGTCCCACAAACAGTCGTAGATTGAAATGACCAATTTAATTATTGTTTTTGTTTTTTGGAGGGATTATTATTAGGCTCTGTGTGGAGTAAGGAAACTTGCCCAAGGTTTCGCCCTCTGCCTGGAATTGAACTCAGGTCTCTCGCTTGCAAAGCGAGTGCTCTAACCACTGAGCTACAGGACTCCAGACATAGAGGAAAGGAAAGTTAGAAAGGGAGCATTCCTAGTGATTAGCATCAGAGTGGCTCGGAACAAGATCTCAGATCCATTCTCTCATTTGGGGAAAATAAATGCCACCTGCAGATAATTTTATAATCTTTTTGGATAAATAATTGCATTTATTTACCTCTAGCTCTTCCATCTAAACTTACCATCCTTACCATCTAGGTCATTGTCTTATACAGTTCTCCTAAATGTGAATCAATTCACATTTCTGTTTATGTTTTCTTCCATAATGTTGCGTTCCTCTTGAGTATTTACGCCCTAGTTTGGTGTCATTTATCTGTGATTTTTGACATATCTCCTGTATCTGAGTCCAAATCATTTATGTACATGGTGAACAATAGTAGTTCCAATGCCTGCAGAACACCACTTCCTAATTTTGCCAGTATGAGAAGCTGCCTCCCACTCAGATTAGTAACATTTTACTTCTTTACATAAGCAAATTTGTGTCATGCTTTGTATATAAATGTCTTTCAGACATTGAAAACAGTGACATCTTCAGGAGGCGTGCTGACCAAAAAGAGCTTTTAAGGAAGAAAAGGCAGGTATGTTCAATAATTTTCATTATATCAACTTTGCAAAGAGTTAACAGTTACTGTAGTTTTAATTGAGCTAGCCCTTCTGCCTCTCTCCCTCTGACACTCCCTCCCTCCTTTGACTCCCTTTTCTCTCAGTCTCTTTCTCTCTGGATCTATAACTTCCTCTTTGTTGTCTTTCTCCTCTCTTTGTCTTTCTACGTCTTTCTCTATGACTTTATCTTTATGTCTCTAACTTTCCTTTTCTCTATTTCTTCCTTTGAGTCTCTGCTCATCTCTGTACACTGCAGAACACAACAGGCAATTTACACACAGCAGTGTTTCACAAACAGCCAATGGAGTGAATGACCAATTTTATCTGGGGGATTGTTGGTCAGGAGAAACTCCTTTCGTTTATCGAGTAGTGCCATGGGGTCTTTAACATCCACTTGAACAGGCAGACAAGACCTCAGTTTAACATCTCATCTGAAGGCCAGCTCCTCTCACAATGTAGTCCTTCCCCAGCACTGCCCTTGAATGTCCCCCTAGATTCAGAACTCAAAGTCAGAGTGTGAGGCTTGAACACGCAAACCTGATTCAAAGGCGAGAATGCTACCAGCTGAGCCAGGGTGACAAAATTCAGATGAGGGTATGGTGTCGGTCAAGGTAGAAAAATTGACATCAAACCCTGACTCAACTAAGGTTGTTGCTGACATTGATCTTAAAATGGGAAAGAATACCAATTGTTTCAATTCACTTATTTGTTTTAAAAATGTCCATTGCAGCTCACTATCTTGTGGTTCTGTTCTTGTGTTACAGGTCCATCGAATTCGCCGGAATGTTCAGAATGAGACAAAGTACATTGAGCTGATGATTGTTAATGATCACTTTATGGTAAAGGTTGCATTTTGTGTGATACAGGACTCTTTGATCACAAGTAGTATTCACTGTTTCTAATAATAAGCCGAGTATTTTATATTGCGCATATAACCTCAAAACGTTTCAAAGTGATTCACAGGTAATTGATGTCAAGGATAGTGACTGCACATTTATAGGCAAATGTAGTGGATATTTTGCACACAGCAAAATTCTATCGATTTATTTATTTTTGGTCAGCGTCTGACACATGCAGAAACCCATCACCATGCTTAAGAGTATCCAAACCAAGCTGAGATTTCCATGTAAATAATAATAACAATAATAATGCTTGCATTTATTATAGCACCTTCTCACGTCTTGGAGATATCTGAAAGCGCTTCACAGAATATATTGTAAAGTGGATTGACTGTTTATTATGTGGGAAAAATGCGGCAGCCAATTGCACACAGCAGTGTCCCACACACAGTCATGGATTGAGTGACCAAATGTTTATTATTTTTTAAAATTATTTTTTCTTTGAAGGGATAATCCCATTGAGTGCATTTATTTCCCAGAATTTGTGAAGCTGGATATAATTGTGGTATAAACTAATCAAGTCTAGTCTATAATCATAATAATAATAAGAAGAAGAATAAGAAGAAAGTCCATATGGAGGTAGACTAGACTAAGCCACACCTCTGGAGAAAGAAAATCACCTATGTCTCTGGGGGAGATAAATGTTGAATAGCACAAAACATGTTTTGTGTTAGTACAAAGCCAAGGGCATGCCTTACCTCATCAAACAAAGTTCATTTCACTTTTAAGCACAATTAATGGATACACAAAAGATTATACTCTTAAATGTGGCCCTCAGGTAACCTTTGGTAAAGGCTTTGCCTGATATTGTAGAAAACTGAACAGACCAGAAGTTTTCGGGTTGGTTTCTGCTCTGTTGGCAATAGAACTAGGCAATAGAATTAGCTTTCAAGCTTCTGGAAGGGAAAGGAGAAAGAACAGCTAAGGTGCCTGGTCATTATCCATTCCCCCTTCTTGCAAAAGTTGAATGCAGGGATGTTAGGGAAGGACAACGTTATGTTTAGCTATCACTGTAAAATTCCAGAGGTAGATTGTTGGAATGGAATGTACACTTTCCCTGGAGGGACTCAGTCTGCTTACCTAATTCCGGAAAGTGTTAGGTGTAGGTTGGCAAGAACCAAGGCTTCGGAACCCCAGAGTGTGCGTTGGAGTACTGCTGGAGTTGGGGTAACCAGTTAAAACCGCAGAGCTTGCCATTGATATTGCTGTCTGCCAAGCTTTCCTGCTGCTTGTCCAGCTGGGACCACTGTACCAGTTTAGGCTTTGGCTTGCAGGGTTAAAAAGAGCTGAGTGGGACAACTCCCTCCCCCAGTGACTGGTCTGCCCTTCCAGGTTCTGCCGATAATCCAGGCTGGCTGTGCTGTCATCAGCAATGCTCTGGAATACTGCAGACCCGTCTGGCTCAGGAACCGGACTACCAAGACCGCCACAGAGCACGGGCTCGATTCTGACGTTCCGTTGCTAGGCAAGTCACTTTGGTCCCAGTTCAGCTCCAAGGAGACTCCACTTACCTCCCAACCCAAGGAGGATAGTCACCATTCTAAGATTCTAGCTAGAGTATTGTTGGTCAGAACACCAGGAGAAACTCCCTTCTCTTAAATAGTGTTCTGGTATCTTTAATATGCTCCCGAACAGGCAGATGGGGACTCGGTTTAATGTGTCATTGAAGCATTCAATAATTCACAGAGCAGTAATACTTGCACAAAGGCGCATGAGGCAGTGAATTCTCTTTAAGCCCTTTTTACATTCAAAGTTCTATTTTAAAACAGCTTAAAAATTGTTGTGTGAGACACACTCCAATGCCTATCTGGTACAAAAAAGAAAAACAGTGTTTCGCTATCAGGTTGCAAAGAATTGGGTTTTACAAAAAAGCTCCAAGAAAAATCATAATGATTTCAGATTCACTAACTCAAAGGGGAATATTTTCTTTGAAATTACTCCCCAACACATACACTGTTTCCCTTTAGCACACTTGGCAATGTGTAGATAACTTTTGCCATTTATTTGATAATTATATTTACAAAGTAAAAACATGTCTCAAAGTGAAATGTATTACACTATTTCAAAAACATACTTGAAAGTATTACATTAGTGTTGCAATTTCTACTAAATGTTACTTCCCAATAATCTGCTGAATTTGATTATGTGTCATGGGTATTATTCTTGAGGTCAAACATCAACTACTGTTGCATACTCTCTAGACAAGGGTGGTTTATGTGACACACTTCTGGTTGTTATTTCCAAGGCAATTGAAATTCTCATGAATGACATCGATGAAGTGTCCAGTTTCACGGTACAGTCCAATCCCATTATAATATACAGTGTCCCGTAACTTAGTGGTTAGAGCCCGGGTTCGATTCCCAGGCAGGGAGAAACCTCAGGCATTTTTCCTTACTCCACACGTCTCTGTTTGCCTAGCAGTAAGTAGGAACCTTTCAGTTTTCCATCAAGTATAGTGACTGTGTATTTGTAGGTGTACGCAGCAGTCAGTTTGCCAACAACAGTGTCCAAGGCAGGTCTCGTGGCCATCTATCTAGATGACAACAGCACTTGAACATCCACTGTAAATGCACATGAAGGCAGTGTCACTTATCAGCTCACTTGAGAAATCTTCCTGACATGAAAGACACTACTTAAACATATTTTATTGTTGTTTCTTTGCACACAGGTACAGGGTAACCCATTGACTTGAATGACCCTGACAACCCCAGAAGTGTTGACCCTTAGAACAACATGGGTTCTCATTTCAGGAACCCCCAATTGTGCAAAGTTATAACTTACCTGAGCTGTCGCTTTGAATCTACCTCATATCTAGACAGTAATCATCCCAACCCAAGCTGCACCCCAAACCAAGTTAATGCATCACACAAAAAAACATTGTAAATAGTTAAAATTATCCACACTAAAATAAAATAATAATTTAATAAATGTGTATAAGACCAGAACCGTGATTTAAAGAAAGTAATTTGATTTGGGGATTTAGATAGCATTGGTGATGGAATTTTAGGTTTAGAACTGTCTCACTGCTATTTAACATGCGGGATTTCTGGAAAACAGATTCTTTATCTAGAGCCACTTCTTGTGCAGCCGGAAATGTGTTTGTTTCTTTGTGGGATTGTCATAACTTGTGCAGGCATCACTGGATCTAGCTCGAGGCTACACCGTTAATCAACTGAGTCCTGCTACCAGTAATATTTTTGTAGGTAGAGTATTAAAGAATTTCACAGGTCATTTGTTTTCACTGATCTTGAGATTGTGAACAGTGTGCAGAAATAGATTTTAATGTGAACTATTAGACATTGTAGAATTTTCTAAAAATAATTCATTGCCTTTTGTGCATAATATTATAGCAGGCATTTGAAAATGTTGTTTCTCTGGGGTGACATGTTTTCTTTTTTGCTTTGCAGTTTAAAAAGCATCGTTTATTAGTGGGTATGACAAACAACTTTGCAAAGTCAATTGTGAACCAGGCAGATTTGGTGAGTATTGGTGAATATGATGACTTCTCATAAGCTGCATGCGGATGTGGGCAGATGCTTAATTTGCTCAGGGTGCAAATGAAGGCAATACCTTCAACCTAGGCTGTAAATAAGTATGATAAAATGAGTCTAGCCTTCCAAATGTCTTCACTGGCATATATGGTATATCAAATGATTAGTTACTGTCCTCCTGGGGTTGGGGGATGGGAGTAGGTCTGAAATAATAATAGTATGCAGAAATGAGCTTGCTGTAAATCACCATCTTTGCCGTCTGGATAGTTTAGTTCCTGAGCCAGGCAGATCTGCTGTATTCCAGGGCACTGCTGATGACAGCTTGGCTGTTCGGCAGGACTGAAGGTTGAGCCCCAAGGGGCACTAGAGGCAGAGATTCTTTCCACTCGGTGCCTACAAATCCTGATGTCAAAGCCCCAATAGGAAACTTGTTAGTCAGTGCTCACAATGGCAAACTTTGTAGTTTTCGCTGGTTGAATTCCAACATACCACACACACTGGGTTCCCCAATATTTGTCTCCTGCCAATCTGCACCTCATACTCTCCAGAATTGGGTGAGCAGGGTGTATTGCTCTGGGGTGAGAGTGTGCATTACATTCCAGTGAGAGGGAAATTTCCATGTAGTGAAGGTGTGCATATCTGGTTTTGATACCCTTAAGCATGGTAATGGGTTTTTATATGTGTCAGTTACACGGGTGTCCAACACGTCTTATTCAGGGGAGGTAAGTGGAGCTACATGCTTTTTTGAAGTATTGTATGTTGGGTTTGGAAAATCTAGTTATACAGTAACTCCCGATAGCAACTTCATTGTAGATTAGAGCACCAGTCTGATGGAAATGCAGTTTCAAAATTAGGCATCACGGCATAATTACTGAAAGGAAACAATGAAAAACAACTCACAGATATCAAATGAGATTCCCTGTATTAAAAGGGGATTATTTGTTCAATTCCACTGTTTACAAAAATGATTACATTTATATTCCAAGTTTGGGTTGTGTTGTGGAGGTGGGGCATGGACAGACCTGGGAATTAGTGTGATGATTGCATATTTCTAGGCAAACGCCGCAGTCAATTTGTACATAGCAGTATTCCCCAGACAGTTCTGAAGTGCATGATGCATTTTATTGGGGTAGGGGCGGATTGTTGGCTTGGACTGTGGGAAATTGCACTGGAGTGTCAGCCTATTCTATCAGCTCAAAGTCCCGACAACCCACAACCTTCTGAATCATAGTCAAGAGTGCTGCCAGCTGAGATTATTAGAAGACCCATATCCTATCTCTGCTCAGATCTCTAATGCAGAAACTTCGGCACGTTAATGTTTAGGATGTGAGTATGCTACTTTATGTGACAAACTGCATTGAATTTAACATTGTTCTTGCCATTGTTTAAGGTTTTTGTTTTCCTGTTGTGCTTCAGTTATTCAAGGAACATCTGAACACAAGAATTGCGCTCGTTGCTATGGAAACCTGGGCAGTCGACAACAAGTTCAGCATAGATGAGAACCCTCAGGTAACCCTGCGAGAGTTCATGAAGTACAGGAGAGATTTCATCAAAGAGAAGAGCGATGCTGTCCACCTGTTCTCGTAAGTACTGTCGTTCTTTCAGAAACTTTTCTGTGCTTTGTTTTTGGATTATGGACTAGTAATAAAGCTTTGTAACGGTGATGTTTAATATAGTAGAAAACCCATACAATAGGATGTTTTGTTGTGGATTGGAAGCAGTTGCACTTTGCACTCATACAGATTTCAGCACCGATGCCTTTTTTGCTTAATATTACGCTGGCTGTTTTTCTATCTTCTTGCAACTTCTGAGTCCCCTTCCCATGGTAGGATAGGCACTGAGGAGTCACTGTGTATGCATTCAGCATTCAAAATAACTTTTAGAAATCACTGAGCTTATTCTCAGAAGATTGAGAATGAGGATGCATGGATTAGTCAACCACTCATCAGTGTAAAGCTGTATCTTCCTTGTGTGTTGTTACTTGTGACTGCCTTATCGAGACTAAAATTATTTGACGACAGAGCCTTAGAATCAAAATTCTGGAATATGGCAGACTTATTTAAATTACTCAAAGCTCTCCCTTGATTATTGGCTGGATGAATGTTATTAGCTCAACAGCAGTAAATATTCGATGCAGTATCGAACCCATGTGAGATTGAGCAGTCAAGCTGTTAAGAGTACCCCTACTGCACAAGTTGCACAGTTTCAGTCAGCAGTAACATTGAGAGGAAACATTCAGTATGTGATGTGAATATCATCAATTGTAATAATTATCATAAGGACAGAATATGTAGTTATGTAGGAGAATCAGGTCTCCTGGAGGCAGTGAGGGCGGAGAATCAACAACAACAACAAGATTACATTTGTATAGCTCCTTTCACGTCGGGAGGATGTCTCAAGGCACTGGACAGTGTACAGCATTTCAGACCCGAGCTGGGGTCAGGGTGGGAGAAGGAGGGGAGGGGAAGGGAGGTTGGCCGATGGCATGGTCGAAGGGAAGGGTCTTGAGGGGGGACTTGAAGGAGGCTAAGGAGAGGGCAAGTCAGAGTGACTGGAGGATGGAATTCCAGAGGTTGGGGGCAGAGGGGCTGAAGGCTCTCCCGCCAATGGTGGGGCGAGTGGGTCGAGGGATGTGGAGCAGGCCAGAGCCGGCTGAGCGGAGGAATCAATTTGGAATCAATTCCAAATTGGATCAGTTTCCAATCAATGATGAGTGAAGAGTTTCTTAATTATCCTCAGTAATAATTAAGGCAGACAATTAAGGAACGTAATTAAATTGTGTTAAGAATCCAACAACTGTGAGCGTATAGTGTCTCCGTAAAAGCAACAGGATTTTAATGTAGAGGAAGGGGAGGGTGAAGTAAGGGGAGGTTTAATGATTCAGCCACCATGAGAGGATTGTGAGAGCTTCCGCGAGAAAATACCTTTTGACCTTTTGTTTTTCCCTTCTGTAGACAACATGCAATTTTCTCTAACTGCTGAGTGAAAATTCTGCATAGAAATGCAAAGAGTGAAATTCCAGAATATACTGCTAACCTAATAAGCTATATTTTTCAACCCTGTTCAATTGTTTTGCACAATGATTCCTTAGTCCCAGTAGTGCAGAAACTATCACGTTATTTGTGTAGAATATTTGATCATCTCTGACTTTACTTATAAACACGAATCTAGTCTAAACCTGATTTTGTTAACGAGGTAAAGTAAGGTTATCCTACTATTGGCAAAGTAGCTCCTGAAGCCGTCACGAAGCACTGTAACCGACCATTTCCATTCCAAAATCAACCCAGTCTGAACCACGTATGCGACCAGTCACAACCAAAGCGCTCTGAGACACTACCCTGAGTGGAAGACGCTATATAAGTGCATGTATTAGTATGAATGTTTGAATAGAATTGGGTATATTTGACTCTAAACCATAGTGATTTCCAATAGGATTCATTGGCGAGTACTTTTCTAAGTCTAAATTGGGATCCCTTCTGGTAACCAAAAGTAAATCAGGCCAACCCGCCAGAATTGTGCTTTGATCGCATTAAATTGTCATTCCCACGTGTGACATTTGTGGAGTCTGTAGCTCAGTGGTTAGAGCACTCACCTCGTAAGCGAGGGACCTGGGTTCTACTCCGGGCAGGGCAAAATGTTGGGCAAGTTTCCTTACTCTACACGCCTCTGTTTTCCGTGCATTAAGTAGGAACCCAGTTGTTAGTCGATTGGGGAATTGCCTTTCCGGGGATAATAATCCTTTTGGTCACTCAATTAAAGACTGTTTGTGGGACAATTGGCTGTCGGGTTTCGCCCACAAAATATACAGTTAATTCACTTTACAGTATATTCTGTGAAGGGCTTTGAGACGTCTCGAAGACGTGATAAGGGGCTATATCAAATTCAAGGATTATTGTTATTATTATACTTTTATTACCAGGAGTGCCAATTTGTGACTCTGTGTACTTACCAATAATCTTAATGAGAAATCACCATTCTATAGACCTCATCGTGTAAATATAATGACACTGGTCACTGTTCTACTGTTTCAACATTTTATTTTTCGAACTGTCCCTCACCTCAGATTTACAATAGACCTTATCTGTATTTTAAGGGGATCTTCATTTAAAAGCAGCCAGAGTGGGGCAGCCTACCTTGGTGGTATTTGTTCACTATCTAAAGGTGGAGGAGTCAATGAGGTATGTATGTGTTCTGATATGTAAGAGTCCAGTAAAGAATCTTTGCAGGCTGATACAATACAAAATGACATTTGTATAGCCCCTTTCACGTCGGCTGGACGTCCCAAGGTGCTGAAGGTTGGATGGCACGATTTCTCAAAGTATCAGTAAGCTGTGCTGGGGCAGTGACACAATGTTGATCCCATCCTATGAGTTGCTGGCCCAAGCACTGTTTGAAGGATGGAGCAAGAATCTCCCACTTGGATGTGTGGGGAAAAAGCAGAAGGACTTTCATCCATCTATTGCTCTAGAACACCCTCTTGTGAACAGCTCAGTGTTAATGGTGCAGGGCTTTCTAGCTTGACAGCAGGCGGCATCTTGCTAGGAGTGGGGCAGTGACATGTAGATGGGAGGAAATATCTTTACGAAATTTAAATCAGGATTAATATTCATTAATATTCAATATTTCTTATTCTGAGAAGCGCTTTGAGATGTCTGAACGACATGATAGGACACTATATCAAATGCAAGGATTATTATTTATTATATAGAGTTGGTAGCAGTTCAGCAAGTGGGCAAACAAAATAAAGTAACTGTTGAAATTCCCTGGCAACTGTTACAGAACATTATTATTCAGAGCCGCCAGTTTGGAAACATTCTATGAATAACTATGAATAAGATCTGTTGTACTGTGTAAACATAATAATGGACTTTATTCACATTAATCATTGTAATACATAAAAATACTTAAAAATAACAGCTGTGAATCATGCTTACATTAGTGTCCACGCAAATCACGATGATTTATCCATTTACATTAATAAAGCAAAAATAACAAGCTGGTTTATTAATCATTTCAGAGAGCGTGCATTTGTGCATTGGTTGGATTAGAATTCATTGTCTTTAGCTGTGAAGAGATTGTCCCGTTTATTGATCTGTTTGGAACAGTAGGTTTGAACGTTTGTTCAATCTGATATTTTATAAATGTTTACAAGTCAAACTTATAAGGTTAAGTGAGTTTTTCAGATGATTAATTTATTATAACATGAGATACACGAACAAACATTACAAAATAAAACTCAGAGCAGAGGTTGGTCGCAGAAACCTAGGGTAATTTAAGTTTGGATATCCACTGCTTGCTAAAACATTTACTTAAAGTATATTTACTCAAAATACAAAGCAATTAATAAAAGCTTTTTTGCTTTTAGAGTAAAAGTTCCATTTCTGACCTGTCTTATTGCCTAGTTTTTAAACCTTTTTTTAAAATAATAATAGTAATAATTCTTGCATTTGATCTAGCGCCTTTCACATCAGGAGGATGTTCAAAGAGCTTCACAGGATATACTATAAAGTAGAATGACTATAATTTGTGGGCAAACTTAGCAGCCAATTTTCACACGTCAATATCCCACAAACACCCATGAAGTGAATGACCAATTTTATTAGGGGATTGTTTGCCAGGACACTTCTATTTTCAAATAGTGCCATGGGATCTTTAACATCCGCCTGAACTGGCAGTTGGGACCTCGGTTTAATGTCCCCTCTAGCACTGCATTGGAGTGTCAAGTTAATGTCAATTCCTGAGTTATGATTGAGACACTGAACTGAGTGTTACCTTATGAATTCCAATACAATACCAAATTAAATTTGTACAGCGCCTTTCACATCGGGAGGATGTCCCAAAGCACTTGACAGGCAGAGATTTGTACCTGATCAGAGAGGGGGAAGAGAAGGGAGGGTAGGAGGGCAGCCGAAGGTGCAGTCGAATAGGAGGGTTTTGAGAAGCGCGTTGAAGGAGGCAAGGGGGGAGTGAGACGAAGGGAATGTGGGATGGATTTCCAAAGAATGGGAGCAGAGAGGATGAAGGCCCGACCGCCGATGGTGGGGCAGGCTGGGCGGGGGCACATGGAGCAGGCCAGATCCTGCTGAGTGGAGGGAACGGACAGGTTGATATGGATTGATATGACAAGCATCAACATGGAGCTTGAATCCACAACCTTCTGACTCCAAGGCAAGAGTCCTACCAACTGAGCCAGGTTGACACACAATATTGTCAGCCTTGGATATTGGGCCTTGGAAATTAGATAATCCAAGAAAAAGAACCTAGTATACCGTATTTAAAATACTCAGATTACAAAATTGAACAACAGTTCATTAAAGGGTCAGTTATTTCACTGGAAAGTCACCTTCTGTCATATGTGTTCTTCTCTTTGGTGTGTTTCAGTTCGGAAATGTTGGTGGAATGGCTGTCACGCTTGCTCAAAGTCTAGCTCAAAATCTTGGCATTTTTTCAGAAAAGAAAAGAAACATCAGTAAGTTCCAGAAAGCTTTATTGTCATTGCATTTTTATGATTGGTTTTGAGTATATAAATTTTTAAAAAGTGCGCTCCACCATCTAACCACCTCCTTTCGCAGACCACATAAAACCTACCCTATTGTGGAATCCATCTAGCTGTTTCGTCTGCCAGGCTAAAAATCTAGCCAGATTCCCAAAAGTAATGAAGCTAAATTTCCCGATTATTTATTCATGCCCACATCTCTACTATTTAATTCAGGCTTTCTTTCCTCCACATGCAAACATTGAAACTTGCAGGAAGAAAAGTGCAGCATCATAATTAGGGAAAGCAGAAAATAAGCGGTAAAGTCCAGAGGTGTATCAGTCCGCAGTCCTCCAGAACACTTCTGCTGACAGCACAGCTCATCGGCAGGACCTGGAAGGGCAGACTAGTCACTGGAGGCCATTGAGCTCCTGTTAACCCTGCAAGCCAAAGCCCCAACGGGTTGGCTGGTCCTAGCTGGACAAGCAGCGGGAAAATTTGCTGGACAGCAATATCAGTGGCAAACTATTCGGTTTTAGCTGGTTAGACTCCAGCAGTACCCAAACACACACTCTGGGGTCTCCAAGCCTTGGCTCTTGCCAACCTGCACCTAATGCTTTCCAGAATTAGCTAATCAGGATATGTCCCTTCAGGGAGAGATTCACATTCCATTCCAACAATCTGTCTCTGGGATTTCCATGTGTAGGTGGAATGCATGGAAATCTCAGCTTGGTCTGGATACTCTTAAGCGTGGCGATGGTCCATGTGTCAGAATTCAGTGGACTTTATAAATGATTTCAGTGAAAAGAGAAAACAGAGATAAAGAATGTCAGGAAAGTCAAAGCAAAGTGAACGGAACATGATGGAGAAATGGAAATACATGCAGAGACCATTAAACTGAACAATAAAGTCCAGAAAATAATTGGCAAAGTGACAGAGATTAATAGAGAAATTCTCGGGCTGGACTTAATTGTTAAGTGTGCTGAATTCTGGCCACTCCAAAATAATACGTATTTGAAGTAAATTTAAACCGCGAAATTCCACGCTGGTCTAGATTTACTTTGTTTGCATAGTATTTTAGAGTGCCCAGAAATCAGTAAATTCTTAAGTACAGTCTGTTCTCCGGTTTTCTTTAAGACCTTTTAAGGTATACAAAAGCAAATTCAAAGTTAAGACTCAGTTGGACACTCAACGATGAAACACATATTTGGCTGTAGCTGCTAATTCTTATTTATTAGACAGTCAATATAGTTGCTGCAAAGCTAATGGCATTCCACTGCATCATCTCGGCTCAGTGCCTCTGGAAATCAATGGTTGTAAAAGAAGCGTCTAATTTATTGACCGATTTTAAGAACAGAAATTTAGATGAAGTCATCAAGTTAAGTTATTACTGAACTTTTACTATTGTACTGAGAATGGTATCGGTCGAAGTGGGCCTATCTCTACCTGTCAAAGAAATAAAAGGATACTACAAACTTATGAACTTGAGAAAAACATTTTCATGTGCAATTTTGAAGATGATGGAATTCATGCAGATTTCATATGTTTTTCTTTTTCATTACAGATGATTGCAAGTGTGATGATAAATGGGCTGGCTGTATAATGGAAGATTCGGGGTATGTTGTTGTTTTGTGTCAGTTTCACTGTGTGTATGTGTGTGTGTTGGAACTCCACTTCAGAAAAAGGATTAGAATCATAGGGTACAACACAGAATTGGTTTAACACTTACTAACCACCTCCTTTCGCAGATCACATCTGACACTATCAGATTTTAAGCTGCTACTCTTTCTCCCAAAGAAATAAACTGAAACATGAAATGTAAGCACTTTATTACATCAGGAATGATGTGGCATGTTCCTTTTCTTTGCTCAAGTTGGGCGATGGTGACACATGGTGATGGACCCAGGTATCCTTGAGAAACAAGTCAAATTGCTTTAGTCCTCATTGACAGAGTTTCCGGGTCTATCTGGTAAAATAATGCTGGGATGTTAGATTTGAGCACCTGAAGGGAGAAATATCAGCTAGGATTCCTTTCCTAATTGGGCGATGAAAGAGCCTGATCCCTATCCAGTGAACTTTGCTGGAAGTGTATGTGTGAAAGTATCAAGATAGGACTAGTTTCGACTGCAATGCCATCCCCCCCACCCCCCTTCCCTTTGCAGGTGAATAAATAGTCTGCTGACATCCACAATAATAAGAATAAGAATCCTTGCATTTGGTAAAGCGTTTTTCACATCAGGAGAATATTTCAAACCACTTCACAGTATTTACTGTAAAATGTAGTGACTGTGCAATTTGTAGGCTAAAGCAAGCAGCCAATTCATGCACATCAACGTCCCACGGCAGTCCGTAAATAATGGCCATTTGCCTAAGAGGGTGCCAGCACTTTTGCAAGTGTACTCCAACGGATGGGAAAAAGGAGTTGATCAGTTCGAGGAAAAAATCTCAAAGGACAAAAATTGGCCGGAAAAATCTATTGCAGTAAATGGGAAGGGGGAAGGGAAAGAGATTCCTCACATAACAACGTATGGGGGTTGCAGTTCATTCTAGCCAATAATTTACAATTGATATTGGATATGCAGGAAGTACAGTTAAAGTTTCTCTCTAGCGCTAGCTGCCAACAATGTCTCCCGAGTGCTAACTTAACCCATGATTGTAAGATGATTTGATTGCAATATCTGCAAAGTGGGCGGGGGTGGGGGGGGTGAAGGGGGAGGGGGGGGGGAAATGCTAACTAAGGGACCGTGATTGTGGTGATTGTATCCAAGTAACGCATCAGTTGCTTATCATGGAGGAGTCCCTCTTTAAAATGGGGTTATATCTGCATGTAAAAGGTTTCAGATTTTTAGAAAATGACTTCAGAGGCAGCCTTATGTGATGGCATGATGTTTCATTACAATGACGTTATGAATAAGGAGCCTATTGACAACCCCTTTGCCTCTGTCATGGAATGGAACCTCATTCAGAGTAAACTCACTCTCTGTACTGGTCTGTACTGATCCCAATTCCCAAATCCCTGACCGTGCAGCGCCTTGGGTCGTAATTTGTTCTTGTTGTTGTACTGACCGCAATTGGACAGTCATGACTGTTCTGGTGCGAGTTTTCACTCTGGTGCCCTCTTCTCTAATCCCATTCCCGTGCTCTTTCCCTACACAACTTTAGTATCTTTGCTCTGATACTGATGGAATTCCCTTTTAAACTGTAACCATGGACTCCGCTTTACCAGCTCTTCGTGGTAAAACATTGGACACGCTTCGCAACCCTCCTCTGTCCTCTGCGTGAAGCAATTATTCTAATCATGTGTCCGTTTTTTTGCCACCAACGGTTCTTACCGATTAAAGTTAACCTTTTAAGTAGATTTTTAACATCTATTATGTTTTGTTAAAAATAATTAGATTATCATTTTAACATCTATTGTGGAGTGTCGTTTTCTGACAACTGCTGTACTTCGTTTATTCAGCGCTGCTCATTTCATTTTGCAAAATATTTTATTATGAACCTTTTTGTTTCAAAGTGTTGCAAGTCTGGCTGGTAAGTGTTGTGAGCGGTAAACTCCAGCAGGTAGCGATGTATCCCAGGGCATGTAAATAAAGCGCGTCTCCTTCAGCAGGTGGTATATACCTGGAGTTTCAGAATGACCACAAGGTGGCGGTCCTTTCCACCTAACTTCTGTATTGTTTTAGTTTTCATGTAGATTTTTTCAAAATAATTTTATATATTTTATCAGAATATCATTGTGGTCCATGCAGCTCGTCTCAAAGTATTCTTTTTTTTAATTCTGAACTATTCTATTTACATCTCAAGTCCTGAGACCTGTAGCTCAGTGGTCACAGCACTCGCAAGCGAGAGGGCCTGGGTTCGATTCCCAGGCAGGGCGAAACATTGGGCAAGTTTCCTTACTCCACACGCCTCTGTTTACCCAGCAGTAAGTAGGAACCCGGTTGTTAGTCGATTGACGGATAAATAATAATAATTTGGTCACTCAATCCACGACTGTTTGTGGGACACTGTTGTGCGCAATTGGCTGCAGCATTTCACCCACAAAATATAGTCAATTCACTTTACAGTGTATTCTGTGAAGCGCTCTGGGACGTCCTCCCGACGTGAAAAGCGCCATATCAAATGCAAGGATTATTATTATTATTATAAAGCAAGGTTTTACCCTTAATAAAATCTGTACATCCTCTAGTGAGAGGTTAACTGGTGATTACTGTTCATTAGTTTTGTTTATTTGCACTCTGCTCTGGGACATTATCCCGCGTGAAAAAATATTTACTTTATAAATGCAAATTGTTGTTGCATTTGAAGAATATCTTGTTCAGTTATTTTAACCACAGTTCCTTGACCCTCACTACAATTCACTGGTACTTCATTGCACTGACCAAGTCTTTTGAAACAATTGTGTGACATTGACTTAACTAGAACAAGGATATGAGTGTAGTGGTTGTAACATGCCTGTACAATGAATGGAAGTACAAAATAGTGCAGTTCTCTGGTATTGTCACTTTTGGTTTACCATCCGCAAGAGACTGAGAACAACAGTGTTTCACTCCAAGAGCTGTGCAGCAAAACAATCTAAGTATTGTAACAAAAGCACGGCACAGTATCTCACTTACATAACGGAGCCGTGATTATGATGTGGAGATTTTGAAACCACTGCTTGTTCAGAGTGCACTGCAAATCACTTCCATGGTGGGCAGTGTTACTTGGAGTCCGAGTTCGTGAACCTATGTTTGTATATCCAGGACTTGTTCCACCTTGTTTGGTTTTCAGAGTGGAAAGGAGCTGCTGCTCAAGCTCTGCAGGTCCATCTCCACCTGGTGGAACCATCGCTCAACAGAAAGGGATGTGGAGTCCTGTAGCTTAGTGGTTAGAGAACTCTCCTCACAATCGAGAGGACCTGGGTTTGATTCCCGGGCAGGGCGAAATGTTGGGCAAGTTTCCTTGCTCCGCAAGCCTCTGTTTACCAAGCAGTAAGTAGGAACCCAGTTGTTAGTCCATTGGTGGATTGCTTTTCCAGAGGTAATAATCTCTTCAAAAAAAATTATTATTTGGCCACTTAATCCACGACTGTTTGTGGGATACTGCTGTGTACAAATGGCTGACTCGTTTCTCTCACAATATATATAGTCAATTCACTTTCACGTTGGGAGGATAAGGGCTTGTTGGATGTCCAATGACCAACCAGTGACTATTCTTCTTGGGTGGGACATGGTCAGCTCTCCTGGGAGCTGAACTGACTCCAAGATCACATGTTTGGCAATGGAATGTCAGAATTGAGCCAACCCTCTGTGCCGGTCTTGGTAAAACAACAACAAGATTACATTTGTATAGCGCCTTTCACGTCGGGAGGACGTCCCAAGGCGCTGGTAGTCCAGTTCCTGAGCCAGATGGGTCCTCAGGACTCCAGAGCACTGCTGATGACAGCGCAGCCAGCCTGGCTCATTGGACTTAGAAGGGATTCTTCCCACTCAGCTCCTGTTAACCTGCAAGCCAAAGCCCTAACGGGTAGGGTGGTCCAGCTGGACAAGCAGCGGGAAAGCTTGCCAGACAGTGGCAAATTATAGCTGGTTACACTCCAGCAGCACTCTTGTCAACCTGCACTTGATACATTCCGAAATTAGGAAAGTAGGATGCATCGCTCCAGGGGAGACTGTGCATTCCATCCCAATAAATATCTCTGGAATTTCCATTTATAGGGGAGTTGTATGGAATTCTCAATTTGGTTTGAAAGGATTGTAAATAAAATATCTGTGTAGCAAATGTTTTAACAACAGTTAAAATATATAATACCTTTCATGTAGGACGAACATCTTAAAGCAGTTCACCACCACCAACAACAACAACAAGATTCCATTTATAGAGCGCCTTTCACGTCAGGAGGACGTCCCAAGGCGCTGTACAGTTGGGTCAGGACCCGAGCAGGGGGGAAATGGTCAGGGTGAGGGGAGGGAAGGGAGGGAGCGAGGAGGGGGGAAATGGTCAGGGTGAGGGGAGGGAAGGGAGGGAGCGAGGAGGGGGTAGAGAGTCGAGAGGGGAGCTGAAGGCACGGTCAAAGAGAAAGGTCTTGAGACCGGCCTTGAAGGAGGAAAGGGAGGAGGCGGCGAAGGCACTGGGGGATAGAGTTCCAGAGCCTCGGGGCTGAGAGGCTGAAGGCCCGGCCACCGATGGTAGGGCGGTTGGGGCGGGGGACGTGGAGCAGACCGGAGCCAGAGGAACGGAGGGTACGGGCAGGTAAGTAGGGGGATAGTAGGTCAGAGAGGTAGGAGGGAGCAAGGCCGTGAATGGCCTTGTAGGTGAGGATGAGGATCTTGAATTCGATCCTCTGGGGGATGGGGAGCCAGTGGAGGTGAGCGAGGGTGGGAGTGATGTGGTCGCGAAGCCTGGTGCGGGACAGTACACGAGCTGCAGAGTTCTGAATGACCTGCAGCTTGTGGAGGGAGGTGCCGGGAAGGCCGGCGAGGAGAGAGTTCCCATGGGCCAGCCTTGAGGTGATAAAGGCGTGAACCAGAGTTTCAGCAGCGTGAGGGGTGAGGTAGTGCCGTAGTCAAGACAAAGTGTAAGCGAGGATAGCAGTGACGAAAACAGATAGAATTTAAGAGCGTTGAGTTAAGGCACAGTGTGAAGAGCTTTTTTTTTAAGCAGAATTTTGAAAATAGGGAGAGGAAAAGCAAGGCAAGGGGATTTTAGGAGAGATCCAGAAACCAGAGGTTTAGCAGCTGAAGACTCAGCCACCTACTGTGGGACAGAGGGAGTGAGGAACGAGCAGAAAACCATAAGGGCTTGGGTAGGAGAAAAGGCTTGGGAGACTGCGCAGCTAGGAAACGGTGAGACCACGAAAGGATATGAAGGTCAGGACTATGATTTTAAAGGTGATCCGCTGGGGGACTGGCAGCCAGTGGAGCTTAATGAGGATAGGGGTAATGGGTGTGTGGAACTTAATGTGGGAGAGAATAAGCGCTAAAGAGGTATGGATGAGTTGAAGCGTGTGGCTGGTGGAGATGTGGACACTAATGATGAGAGCCCTGGAGAAGTCTAACCTTGAGTTAACAAAAGCATGATGACAGTTTCGCATGTGGAGGGGGTGAGATAGGGCTATAAGTGGCCAATGTTCTAGAGATGGAAGAAAGCAGCGTAAAAATAAACATGGGTTTAGCAATTGTTTGACACATCATGCTTATACATAATAATGTGAGTCTCTTGTACTAATAGCATGGCAGCTGTACTTCAATACTTGCAGTGGGTTTGAGATACGCACTGTGCTCACTTTCATAAAGCATATATCGCAGCTCTTTATGATGCGTAAAAAGGGCTCATTGTTTCCTGATTCATTAGTCTAGTTGACTATGATGTGTGGCTTTGGTTTCCTAGGGTACTGTTAGCAATATGAACTTTTTAACATCACATCAAAAGGGGATATTTCAAAGACATAATGTCCACCTTTCATTTTAACTTACCTTTTTCATTTGTCTAATATAATATGCAATGATGAGATAAAAAGCACTAAGGGATTGTTAATTGCTTGGAGATACAATGATGAAAAAATTGTAGGGAACAAGGACTGAAGGCCCTGCTTCCTGACAGATGAGAAGTGGGTTCATAAATGTTCCACCAAATAATTGCTTTGATAATTTTCTCTTGGTCTCTTGTACACCCACAATAAAATCCAAAATTGATATCACAATAACTTTAGTGCATGAAGCACTGAGAAAGAGAAAGGCCAGTCTGTGCATTGATAAGAAGGCTCTTTGTTTTAATTTCTTGTCAATTAATTCTTTGTAATTGGGTTGATTCAAACCAGCGTTTAACCCCTTTTCTGCTGAAAGGGCTTGAATAGAATTGGAATAGATTGATGCATCATTCTCCTTTTTACGTGAGATCTTTTGTATCAAGACATTTATCTTCAAAATGGGCAATTTAGATTTGTTTCCTCTTCTGTGATTATCATATCATTCCTCTGATGCTAACAGAGTGGCAAGTTTAGACAGTGATTAAAACGAAGGGCTATGTTTTGAAACCAGGTTTTAACACTTAGTAGTACGTTATCAATTTTTAAGAACAAGATTCAGTCTTAAAGACCAAAAGGTGTAAGTTGAAATCATGGCTTGTGACTGGAATCAATCACTTGCTGCAACAATGGATCTTGATGACCTGAGTACGTGACTGATGGAAAAAATCATTCAGATTCCCATTCACTGTTTTCCTTCTGGACAGTATATTGACGTCAGATGGGAATGATGACTTTGCCAATATTGATGGCATATGAACTGTATGGTGAACTTAAGGTGTGGAGAGAGAAAATAGTGGCAAAATAAATTCTGCTGAGTCTTAGCTTAGAGCTCTATTTTGATTTATTATCATTGTATTAGTATCGGACATGTCAGCATCCAATGAACATGCCCGCAGATGTAAATCACGACAGTAGTGTCTGTACACTGTTGCAGACTTGATTAATTTTACAGTGTTTCTTGTTTTTTGAGCGATCACTGTCATCTGGGTCAATGACCATGATATTTGTGTTTTGGTTTCCCAGTATTGACATAATTTACCATCTTTTCTGCATATGTTTAGATATTATCTTCCACAAAAGTTTTCCAAGTGCAACATTGAAGAATACCATGATTTTCTGAACAGTGGAGGTGGCTCCTGCCTCTTCAATAAACCCACAAAAGTAAGTATCAGCACTTGCATTATTTCATTATTGTTTATGATCTAATTTCTCAAAGGACGAACCTATTTGTTAAAAATCAAAAGTAATTTTAAACTAGCACTTAGAGAACGGTAGCTTGGCCAGATAATATTATAGCTTTTATATCTACTGGTAAACATGCTCCCAGCAATAAAGCTATCTGACATCTTAAATAGAATTCATTGGTGATTTACAGTGCCTCTGAGTTACTTTTAATGCAATTTATTAGCTGGCATCTTGTGTGAGCCAGTCTCTGTTACAGAAATATTTTAAGTGTAGTAGATTAATAATCTGTTAAAAGATTATATGAGTAGTTTTATCTGAGTAGACTCACTGCTTGTCGGCCTCCCCAACTCCTCCCTCCACAGGCTGCAGATCATCCAGAACTCTGCAGCCCGTGTCCTCTCCCGCACCAGGCTCCGTTACTCTTATCAACCCCATCCTTGCCCAACTCCACTGGCTTCCCATCACACAGAGGATACAGTTCAAGATCCTGGTCCTCACCTTCAAAGTCCTCCATGGTCTTGCTCCGCTCTTCCTCTCCAACCTCCTAACCCCCTACCATGCTGTTTCTCCCTCCGCTCAGCGGGCTCTGGCCTGCTTTGCATCCCCCACTTTGCTCTCTCCTCTATAGGCAGCAGGCCTTCCGCCACTCTGCACCCACCCTCTGGAACTCCATCCCGCAGTCCCTCCGTCTTGCCCCCTCCCTCGCCACCTTCAAGACCCACCTCAAGACCCTCCTCTTCGACTGTGCTTTTGATCTCCCTGCTTCCCCCCGTGCCCTCCCCCCTTCCCCACCCGGACCCTCAGCTCGGGTCTGAAACTCTGTCTGTCCAGCGCCTTGGAATGTCCTCCCACCGTGAAAGGCGCTATATAAATGTAATTTTGTTGTTGTTGTTGTTGTTTTACTCGAGTACCTCGCATATATAATCGCTGTTTGAGCACGCACGTCTTATGTTCCTCGCTTGGTTGAGGCATTAAGTTTCCGGGTTTGAATGGCAATGTTTTGCTCAGTCTTTCCTGCACGCTTTCGAGGTCAGTAAAAATATTATGTCTCAAACACATCCTGGAGGTGGAGAGTGGCATGAAGTCAGGCAGGTCGGCAGTAATATAAGTCACTTTTATTGGTTGAATAGACCATCTCCCTCATACACCAACTTGGATAATTATAACCTATCTCCTGAAACACACAAGCCAAAAACCTAACAGTTAGTACAGTATGTTCCTAGATGAGTAATTATTGCAAGAAACATAGGAATGTAAAGTACTGGAAAATACAATTGTGGTAATTTTTCTCAAACTGAGAATAACATTAACAGTCATTAGATTTACAAGGGTTTTTTTCTACCAGGGATGGATAAGTTACCAGTAGTCAGATACAGACATCAAAAAAGATAGAAAAATTGGATTGGTTGGAGCTTTTCTCTTGAGGTGTTTAGGGTTATGAATGTATTTCAAACTAATTTTAACAATAGTAAAGTAAATAAAATGATACTGTCTTTTCGCATGAGAAAGTATGAAATGTTGCTTCAACCTCAGTATTAGAATTACAGGATCTCATAACTGGTTTGTTATTTTGCCAACACAGCTTCTTGAGCCGCCAGATTGTGGAAATGGATTTGTAGAGTCAGGCGAAGAGTGTGACTGTGGCACAGTCGCTGTAAGTAGATGCTCTGATATATCTTGAACTCGGCGTATTTATTCTGATGCGGAATCTATCAATATATTTGATGTGTACAGGAATTTCGCTGTAATGATTTGCATGTTACAGCTGTGATCAAAGGATGCTCAAATAATACATAATGATGTTCTGCTGGCCTGTTATTAAATGTATTGTCTCCATTTCTTTTATCTTTTGCCCACAAAATATACAGTCAATTCACTTTACAGTATATTCTGAGAAGCGCTTTGAGACGTCTTGAAGATAAGGCGCCATGTCAAATGCAAGGTTTATTATTAATATCTTTAAAAACTTCAAACCCACATACTATTCCTAGTTGAAGGACAAATGGGTGATGTGAAGCCAGTTTCTGTCAGGTCTGTTCTTGAGTCAGCTGCTCTGGAGATGCTTACAGTCTTCCTGCTTATTTTTCTACCAGAGAACCTTCTACCTTCTGGGGATACATCTGGGGCTAAAATTCCAATTGGTGTTCCTTGAGGAGACTTTGATGATGTACAATTATAATGGGGGAAATCCCATTAAAGGCTATGTTGTCCTTTAGTCAAACTCGCAACATGAAATGCTGACCGAATTTAAGTCCTCAGATGCGTGGTTCTGGTAACATGTTGAGATCAGGAAATCACTGAACAGAAAATTTGTGGAACTGTTGTTAAGAACCAAGTTAAAAATCAACTTCCAAACCCACTTCCAAATTAAGACTGAATGTACTATTTTTCCAAAGTTCTGTACATTGTTAAATTTAAGCCAAAGACTATGAGAAATTTGGGGCCTCACATATCCAGACATATGTGTGTATTTTAGTGGTTAGAGCACTCACCTTGCAAGTGAGAGGACCTGGGTTCGATTCCCAGGCAGGGTGAAACGTTGGGCAAGTTTCCTTACTCCACACGCCTCTGTTTACCTAGCAGTAAATAGGAACCAGGTTGTTAGTCGATTGCCGGATCACTTTGCCGGGGGTAATAATCCCTTTAAAAAAAGAAACTAAAATATTAATAATTTAGTCACTCAATCCATGACTGTTTGTGGGACCTGCTGTGCTGCTGCGTTTCACCCACAAAATATACAATCAAATCACTTTACAGTATATTGTGAGGTCCTTTGAGACATCTTGAAGATGTGATAAGGCGCTATATCAAACGCAAGGATTATTATTATTGTTATTACACACACTTTCAATTAGACTGATAACATTAAAGATTATTATAGCACCCTCACCATCAAGGTGACTGAGATCGGTTAATTCAGCACAAACCAGGAATAGCATGTGTGATGATCATTTGACTTAGTTCCACACTGTGATGCTTTTACCCACAGAGCCATCAGTACAGCTTAGTTTATTTTTGAGACAAAATAAATAATAACCTTAGCACAAGGGATGGCTTAATGACCGCCCTCAAATTTGTTCTTATCACTGAATTAGCCCACAGCTCCGTGACACAACCCCAAGTGAAGGGCACTACATAAATGCAAATTGTTGTTGCTCCTGGTCTCTAAAGCTGCTCAGCCAGCTCCCTGCCAGCTTGTCTCTTGCCATTGAAATAAAACACAGGAAACTGACTCTATCCAGACTCCATATAAGGATTTTTTTTTTAACTTAGCAAAATCTACAGTGTCCCATTTTTGAAGCACTGTTTTTTCTCAGTGTGATGGTACTATCAGAAGTAAATGAAATTAAGGCATATTAATGGTATTTTAGAGACGATTTGTTTGTATCATTTGTGTGCTAATTGTTACCCGAGAGACCTATCAAGCACCCACACAAGAATTCAGATAATAATGAAGATTAAATGAACTTGAGATGAGTTTCTGGGAGCCACACTTTGTATAATTCAGGCAACGATGCAGGACAATGCGACTCACACAACACCACTTGCAGTGATATGAAGTTTTTTTTAAACAAACATTTTGATATTCGAAAGCTCACGGCCCTGAATTTCACCTCATCTTAACTTATTAGACCATTTGTTCCAAAACAAAAGATCACGAGGAAACATGGAAAACTCTTAAATTTCGTCCTTCCAAATATAGGACAGACTTTTTAAGAACTGCGAAAAATCGGCTCCCATTTCTGAATTCAGATCCAATTGAATAATTTTCTAACTTAAGCGCAGTGATGCGTTTTCGCACGTGAAAGGCACCCAGCTGACCCAAAAAAATGGCTTTAACCAGGTAAAACTAGTTGGAATTTTGGGCTTGTGTGCTCAATAAAAAGCTAATCTGTATTGTTCTTTCTTCACAGGAATGCACCAAGGAAGGAGGGGATTGCTGTCAAAAATGTAAGCTCATAGATGGTGCTAAATGCAGCAATGGACTCTGTTGCCATGAATGTCAGGTAAAAAATGACAGCGATTATGGCATGTTTTATTATGGCACAATGGGTTTGTGAAAGTGTTCCTGTTAAAAGCAATAGTTGATCTGAGGTACGATTCTCCAAAGGCCTTCCCTTTGTTTGAGAAGTATCTGTTGCAAACTAATATTTATTATTACCCAATGATAAGTCTGTAGAAAAGCGATCGTGTACAGACTTGCAGCAGAAAGAAGACCTTGTGCGCCTCACTGTGTTGTTTGAAGGACAACAACAAACAAACAATTGCATTTATATAGTGCCTTTCATGTTGGGAGGATGTCCCAAGGAACTGGACAATTGAGGGTTTGCAACTGAGTTGGGGGTTGGGTTCGGGAGGGGTGGGGGGGTGCAAGGAGTTTGGGGGTAAGAAGACGACCACAAAGTCATAGAGGAAAGTCTTGAGACAAGGGAGTGGGTGAGGCAAAGGGACTCTGGAATGGAGTTACAGAGGGCGGGGATGGAAAAGCTGAACGACAATGGTGGGGGGGGCAAGGCGAGGGATGTGAAGCAGGTCAGTGCCTGCTGAGCAGAGGGAGCTGCGGGTTGGTAAGGATTTAATAAGCCAAGTAGGTAGAGGGGGCAAGACCATGGAGAGCTTTAAAAGATGAGAGCGAGGATCCTGTAGTCGATCTCTGGAGAGGTCCGTAGCCAAGCGAGGATGGGGGTGATAGATTCGAGGAGCCTGGTGCAGGAGAGGACATGAGCTGCAGAGATCTGAATAATATACAGCTGGTGGACTGAAGAGTGTGTAAGTCCAGCGAGCAGGGAGTTAGCATTGTCAAGCCTGGTCGTGATGAAAGCATCGATCAACGTCTCAGGCGGCCTGTGAAGAGAGTTACTGGCGGAGGCCGGCAATGATGTGAAGATGGGGGAAGGCTGAACTGGTCAAGGCACGGATGTGGTATATTCAATTTGTTGTTGATGTTGAACTATATCAATCAGCATAAATAACTTTTATATGTTTATCTTCTATTGAATTTATAATAGAAAATACATTTTAATTGTATTTGCTTCCATTTGTGTTCACTATGAAACCCATATTTCAATGAGACTTACAATATAGATGGTGTAAGAATTAGGAATACTGGTAGAGGCAGAATTAGTTCAGTTGACTAGATTGTGGAAACTTCTCGCCTGATATTAAATCTGTATCAGAAAACATGACCTGCCCTTAATATTCTGTCTTTACATTTTTACGTCAGATGTGTGATTTTGTGAGTGCTGCATATTCAGGATACAAATTATCACCTAAAAATGACAGCAGTGTAAAATCAGCTTCCCCCATTTGAGTATTAGGTTTCCGCTCCCAATTATTGTGCTTCTACCCCAAATTATCGAGCTCCCTCCTCCCCCCATATATTGAGCTTCGCAGCTCCATTTGCTTTTGAAGAGTGGACACTTTCTTTGGTGCTCTGCAAATTGAACTTTGTGCAAAATCCCACATATTCAGACATTGACTATTGGAAATAATGTTTATTCCCTTTCAGATTAAACCAAAAGGAGATGTGTGTCGAGAGGAAGTAAATGATTGTGACATTCCCGAAGTCTGCAATGGAAATTCTAGTCAGGTGACTTTTCCTCTGACCCTTAATCTTTTAACAGAAATTCATGTAATGGGTAAACCTTAGATATTTTCTAAAGGCAAAGTACTGCAGATGCAGATATATTAGATATATTCTATTGGATTAATCTGCGCTGAATCCATTTCAAACGTTTCATACTGTCTGGAGCTTGTGTTCTGAACTCAAAGCTTTTTGGATCATTAGTGCATTCCTAGGTATTTGTGACTCTCTCCATTTAAACACTTCTGCGTGTACATTGTCATACTTACCTTTAGTATTTCTATAGATGCATCAAGAACAAACGTGTAAATCATGCATTGTATCCACTCTTTTTATGTGATTTATATATAACATTCGTGAACAAGCAACAGCTCTGGAAATATTTTGCATCCTTTTTCCCACAACTCTTTATTTTCTTTTATAGTGTCCTCGAAACGTGCTTAAAATGGACGGATACACGTGTGATAAAACTGAGGTACTGTAAGTTGATTTAGGATCTCTGTGCCGGAGTTTTATTCTTCGTCAGAGTTATTTGCTAATTGTTTCATTTCGGCTTTCAGGGGCGCTGTTTTGACGGGAGATGTAAAAGCAGAGAAAGGCAGTGCAAATACATTTGGGGAGAAAGTAAGTAAGAAGCATCCAACATGCTAGGAATGTAATATTTTGTGCATTGCTTTATTTTCTAGATGAAGATTAGTTTATCAAAATTCATTCATGCATTTAAGTTTTATCTTTTATATGTGGAGCTTTTGCATCATTGTCTTGAAGCTGCATTGGATCAATAATTCAGGTTTGTGATTTGGTCTCAATTTACTAATAGTTTTTAGACAGAATGACTCTAGTCAGGTCTTGGAATGGGTTCAAGTCCATGCAATTTAGAACTAACTATGTCCCTAAAGTGGAACTTAATTACAAGTTCAGTCGAACAACCTGTTCAGTTTCCCATCTCATTCACGTTCTGTCTCTCTGAGGGACATTGTGATGAATTATGAACAGATTTGTTACATGAAATTTCACCTCCTTAATAACTACACCACAATCTTATTTCACACCGGCAGGGGTATTCATCCCCATTGACTCAATCCGAAGGAGAACTCCAGCCACTAGTTTAACTCGTCATTCCTCACAGGTCATTGCAAACTGGCTACCATGCTTGTATACAAATACAAAGTCCATGAATTTTCCCAGCCATGTTGAGGTTGAACTGACAAGTGGTGATCTATCCAGTGTATTCGTTCTTGGAATTTCTATGTGCTGTTTTATTGATATCTAAATTTTACTTTTAATTTCTAAAGTCCTGTATATTTTCCTTTGTACACTTGCAACATTTTACATCGATCTGTGTAGCAAGATTGGTCCTTCAAAGGTAGTTTTAGGGTCACTTTCCATTTCACACTGTGAAGTAGTTTTTACTGTAATGTTTGAAGACATTAGCCTCTCATACTTTGATCTTTTTCTTATTGAATCCTCTTAATTTTTTAAATTTTGTTTCATCATTTGGAGCTAAACTGTGTCACTTCTCAGCTGCTAAAGTCAATTCAATTGCTTGTTTCTCAGAAGCAACTGCTGCAGACAGATTATGTTATGAAAAACTTAACATTGAAGGGACTGAGAAAGGGAACTGTGGCAAAAGCAAGGACAAAGATACCTGGATCCAATGCAAGAAACAGTGAGAAAATACATACTTCCTTTTAACACTTATCCTCAAAGTTAAATGAACTACAGAGCGCATTTTCTCCACTAATTGGGACCAGCCCAAATGATGATAAGCAAACACGACGGATATGTGGACATCACGCAAAGCATGTCAGCCCAACTCAGTCGTTAACAGTCTTGCCTCTGGGTCATACGATTGTTGGCGTCATGTCCCAGGTTGGGAACTAACACTACACTGGAGTACCAGGTCTAAGCTGGTACGCCAGTGTAGTGTTGGGGGGGGCACTGCAGTAACCGACTAGACATGCTTCGGATGAGATGTTAAACTGAGGTGATAATTATCGAACCCTATGTCTCACACTTTTTGTCCATTCAAATAATTGTCATCAGTGATGGCTAACACATCACAAGTTGTATTTTTCACCCCTTTGAGAGGCTGGACCTTTATGCTGTGCCTGATTTGCTGACTGAATCTTGTACTTCAAGGTGGTCCAACCTTTTGGCTGCCGGGGGCTGGATTTCCTATTTGAGAAAGGTCCACGGGCCACAGTCTCCCTCTCTCTCACTCCCCCTTTCTCAACTCTCTCTCTTTCACACACACACACCCACACACATACTCCTCTCTCTCTCTCTCCCTTTCCTCTCTATCCCCTCTCAATCCCTCTCTCTCCCAATCAGTTCCACGGGTCACTATTTGCAGCGACAGGAGCCGGCGGTTGTCAGGATGCGGTTGGTAAGAGGCACGTTTGCCCTCCTGACAGACTGCAGTAACGGCCGGTATTATTTCCACTCCCTGCACTGTGTCATCTGAACCACCATCTCCTGCCGCTGACCTGGGAGAACATTCATCAGGAAGGGAGGGAGTTAGAATGTTGGAAAGGTCTCGAGCCAGATAAAATCACCCGCCGGGCCACCAGTTGGATCACGTTGTGGTACTTAATGTCATTGAGTTTGATTGCATTATGACATCTGATTTAATCTAGAGATGTGCTTTGTGGCTACCTACTGTGTTCCAACACTTTGCGTCACCCAAAAGTGGGAGAACTCTGGGGAGATGTGACTCTGTCTTCAATATTACAGAAGCACAAATCTATCAACTGCAGGTAATTTACCCTAATTGAAGCGCACTCGCTATAGAAGTATTGTTTATAACTGATTCAAAATGGAAATGCATATTTAATAACAACAACAAACAACAAATTACATTTGTATATTCAACTTCCATTTCACGGAAACACTGGATCTTGTTTTTGTTGTTAATTTTCTAAACCTGGGTAATTAAGCCTCCAGCACTCCCTGTCCTTTTAATAGTGTTAAAAATAAATTATTGGAGCCACTCAGTGGAACATGGTGCTTAGCTACGTACACATGCACAAGGACCTGCTTCACCTTTGCTTTATCATCTTATTACAATGAAGACCCATTATCACACAGTGGTTGGGAGGCGTACAGCCCTTGCTCTAGCAAATAATATAAATCACGATACGTCCTATAAATCCCTGAAGTGCTTTGATGTGACAGGAAAGGTGCCATATCAAATGGAAGGATTACTATTTATTATTAGTGCTTCAGGATCTGTAACTGTTGTATATTTGTATTATGCATTTTCATTGTTTCCTGATTATTTGAAGCATTTGTTGATATTATTTTAGTTTGATAATTTCCTCTGGTTTATATTTTTCCCCTTAGTGGTGGACATGTCAAATTAGATGTAGACACAGACCTGGGGTATGTGGAAGATGGAAGCCCCTGCGGAAATGACAGAATGTGCTTCGAACACAAGTGTCTTCCCTTACAAAAGTTTAACTTCAGCGTCTGTTCTAGTACAAATGGTACTCAAAACTGTTCAGGACATGGGGTAGGTTAATAAAATAGTTTAACTACTTATCATTCATTTACTAATTGTGGAATTGGCTCTTTTAGTAGGAACTAGAGGCTGTTTTCTGTAGGTAGCTACTGTATTAACAATGTTCGCAGATCTAGATTTGCATTCAGATTTATTCAAGAGGAAGCTTGACCTTCACATGAGGGAAAGGGGAATAGAAGTGTATGGGAGGGATTAAGGTACAGAGACTCATGTGGAGTATAAACACCATCACGGACTGGTTCTGAGTGGCCTCTTTCTATGCTGTAAATCTTTCTAGACTGATTGTCACAGGTAAGTGAGAGCAACTGCTAAATGTCATCGTAATTGAACAAATTAGGTGAATGGCATTGATTTTATTTATCTCCACCTCTAACTATTGCATTTGGAAAAATAATGAAAACCCCTGAAGTTCTTTGTGTAAAAAAAAGTAAAATTCCAATTTGAAACATTTTACATTTTGGAAAAGAGTTTGAAAAAATCTTGAGTTTACCCCTAGTTCAATGGAATTGTAAAATTGTTTGGTTTATGTTTTTAAAATTTGATACTAGTTGATATTTTTAAAAGTTGCAAACATTGAATGAAACCGTTGAACTAAGACTGGAATATTAACCTCTAATTTTGAATTAAATTGAGAGTTGCACTTAAATATTTAGTTTGCTTTCCAAGTAATACACAAATATAATATTGTTTTGCATGAACCAGCTTTCTAACCTGCCTGCTCTTGATATGATACAATACAAAATTAGATTTATTTTGTGTCTTTCACGTCGGGAAGACATCCCAAGACGCTGGACAGTCAGGGATTTGGACCCGAGCGGTGGGTGGTGGGGGAAAGTTAGGATCAGGGAAGTTGGAGGGCAGAGAGGGTAGGAGGGTTGGCCGAAGATGCGGTTGAAGAGCAGAGTCTTAAGACGTGCCTTGAAGGAGGCAAGGGAGGGAGTGAGGCGAAGGGAATGTCGGATGAAGTTCCAAATGGAGGGGGCAGAGAGGCTGAAGGCCCGACCGCTGATGGTTAGGTGGGCCGGGCGATGGACGTGTAGTGGGCCGAAGCCTGCTGAGTGAAGGGAGCGGACAGATTGATATGGGAAGAACATTTTTTTGTTGCCCCAAGGGTTTTTAAAACATATATTCTCTTTCCATTTCCATTTTTCCTTTTCATTGAATGTGACAATTCCACGTTTCTAACACGGCCCAATCGCTGTCTCCTTTGAGTGCGTTCCACAAAAAGAGATTCTTTCCGTTGAGTTCAAAAAATTGATTATTTCTGCTTTATCGTTTTATTAATACCCTATCCATTTAAACTAACATACTGAATAGCAAAGCGGAATAGGATCTGACCAAGTTCTTGACATTACTGACCGAAAAAGGTGTGTTCCTCAAAAAATATAAACATGATCTGTTTTGTGCAAAATAGTCAACCTTTTCCATCCATCATGTGTTGCAGGATGTTCACACAAGGTTCTGTTTGCTGATGCTACTTGCTCTTCTGATGTGCCAACATTGGTAGGACAAACACATTGGCAGCCTAGGACAGTAGTGTAAAAATAGCTACCCTTCTAGGTTCGCATTGTAACTAGCAGACAGAGAGGCGCCAATATAATGTGTATTTCATGTATACAAAGCCCTCAGATACACTGTCAAGTTTTTTTTATTATTATTTAAATGTATCTTGCCTGTCTATTTTGTTTTTTGAATCTATATACATATGTAAATGTATTGATTTGTTTATATACTTTTGTTTATTACGTTGCTTTGTATTTTTTGTAAGTTATAACTAATAAAAAGCAAATCTGCAGATTTTCTACCAACATGTTACATATAACTGGAACCTCAAATATACATACATATACTATTTTTTTAAGAGACATTCCTCTTTGACTGCACTTTCAGTTAACTTTCCCCTCCGAACCTCCTTGGCTTCCACTCCCACCTTGAGTGCCAAGTCCAGGACTGTTAAGAGCCTTGGGACGTCCTCTTGACGTGAAAAGCGCTATATAAATGTAAGATTGTATTTTTTTTACGTGAACATACGTCAATAAAAAGCTAATCTGCAGGTAGATGTTTTACCAAATTAGCTCCACCACCCTCGCTTGGGGAAGGACTTTTTTTTTAAATTGCTAGGCTTTTTTGGTGAACGAAGGATATGAGATTTTGAAAGAATTATTCCTGTACATTTCTATCTTTTATCAGAAATAGGAGAAATTTCTGTGATGATATTTGCTCCGTTCAACAAATGTTATTACAAGCCTGTTGTTTACAGCGGTTACACATTGGGAAAATATTATGGCTTGTAGTCAGATGTGATAAATATGTTTAGAAAAGGAAAGTTATCATACATTCTGCTTGATATATAGATTTAAAATATACAATTTAAATTAAATCATGATTTGAAGACATGACCAACAAGCATATTTACTCTGTGTTTGAGGGGGCCAGAGTAAGTCATGAGATTGTAGATACTGGTAATTTGTAAAGGGCCAAATGACCAATGTTATTTATCAACATCTTATGAAGTCAAGGATTGTTAAGATGTGTGTCCAAGCTGTGGGTAGGTGGATGATGGCAATACTCTCAAGTATTGCTCTATCTGGTATATTCTGGTAACTACCCAGTGAGAGCTCAAAGCTGTGCTAGCCACACGTCAAATGATCAATTAGTGACTGTCTTCCTCGGGGCCAGGAGAGCTGAGCTGGCTTTTATCCTCTGTGACAGTCTCAGAAGTTTGGTTCATGAGCCAGGCAGCCTACAGTCCACTGCTGCTAATGGACTAGCCAGCCTGGCTCATTAATGTGTCTTTACTGAGCTATTTTAATATTGTATTGTTTTATCATAGAACGTCTCACATGGCGGGCACGTTGCAATTTAATATATTCCAAAATCTGTCCATACTGCTGTTAAGCAAGTACAAACCATTGAATCAATAATTGATATTCAGTAGTTATTCGGGTGCACGAGTTCAGACCTGTTAATTCTTAAAGCAATTCATTGCTTAGTCATTACACTGATATAAGGAGCGTGTGAGCCAGAATTCTGACATGAGGTAAACCTTAGCTTAAAGAGTCTCCAATTCCTGGTTCTGAAGAATCAAAAGAAATAGAGATTTTGTTTGCCTGGTCTCGAATATGCACTCTGTAATCCCAGAAATATGGTCATATTCTCACTGGACTATGCCCAGAGAACATAGGTGCAAAATGGCAAAAGCCAACATGCTAGGTACTCCAAATTATGTCTTCGGGGTATCGCTATGCAAACTTCCTGCTTGGCGGCCTCCCCAACTCCTCCCTCCAAAAACTCTGCAGCCCGTGTCCTCTCACGCACTAGGCTCCGCAACCCTATCACCCCACCCTTGTCCGACTCCACTGGCTTCCCATCATACAGTACAAGATCCAGGTCCTCACTTTCAAAGCCCTTGCTACCCCTTACCTCTGTGACCTCCTAACCCCTACTGTCCCACCCGCTCCCTCCGCTCAGTGAGCTCCAACCTACTTCATGTCCCCCGCCTAGTTCGCCCTAACATTGGCAGGCGGTCCTTCAGCCATTCTGCCCCCACCCTCCGGAACTCCATCCCGCAGTCCCTCTGCCTCACCCGCTCCCTTGGAACCTTCAAGACCCATCTCAAGACCCTCCTCTTCGACCTTGCCTTCGGTGACCTCCCGACCCCCAGCTTGGGTCCGAAACACTGATTGTCCAGCGCCTTGGGACTTCCTCCCGATGCGTGAAAGGTTCTATACAAATGTAATTTTGTTGTTGTTGTTGCTGGAATTGAACCAGATAAAACTATGCAGATTGTTATATACAATTGTATAAAATGCTGATGCTTGTCTGGCTTATACCAACCCATGGTAGGGTGTTGGTACGTACGATATCAGAAGCCAAATGGGAATATTTACATTACCCCAGTGACAATTGTACTTTTCCAAGTGCCATGGTTAGGCTGGGTAGACTTAACAATTATCGACAGTACCCTGGAGTTCTGCAGCTCAGTCAGTTGTTCTGCAGATGTTTGACTGGCTCAACGTTTAGATCATGGAGTCCACCACAGAAAGTTGACTTAACTCCACTTTGCTTTTGCTGAGTATGTCATCATGGAGACAGCTCCACCCTAGCGATCACCCACTGACCAACCTCACCAGGAGAATAATTATCGGTTGGTTATCATACGTATATGTTTGTTATAGGTTTAAGCTAGATGGTTAACTGGTAACTTGTCTTGAGCAGTAGGATGAGTGACATACCTGTGCATAAAGTGTGGGAGAATATTGCTAGCACCCTTCAGACCTCTCAGCCAGGACATGCAATATAACTTATCTAATACAATATAACTTATCTTGGTGTGGGTATAGGAAAAAAATGCAGGAGAATAGGGCTGAATGAATAGCTTTTACAGAGAGCCGCACAGGTACAAATGGCCAAGTACTCTTCCTTTGTGTAAAGTTCTATGTTTCTGTTGTTCTAGTTCACTATAATGACTCCATTTGTTGGAGTTGTGAAGTTTCAGCAATCATTGCTTTGCTCTCTGTAGTCCAGCAGAGGGTTGTGTTTGCTGTTTTTATATGATCTATTAGGCTTCCTGAGGCTTATGCAATCAATTTATTGAAAAGAAACTAATACAGATGAAGCACTTTTTTGCTGAATCTGAATAGAATTCAAATGAAGCAAATATTTATTGAGATGCTTTTTGGTTTTGTTCAAAATCACGTGTCTTGTAACGTTTCATTTTTCGTTTCATGACATGACATTTTACCTCCTTTTTGAATTAGACTGCGTGCGATTGCAGAAAAAGTTTATTTTTGAATGAGTAGACAGAGTGGAAGCTGGTTAAAAAAATAATTGGTTTATCATGAGCACTGATGTGAAGTATGCAGTGTTGTTTTTTGATGTATTTACATCCTCTCCCAGATTTTCAATACACAATGAGGAAGTGTAAAATCATAATGATTCTTTTACTGATAAGGAGTTTTCATCATTTTTTTTTCTTTCGAAAGGGTAAG